GGGGGGAGAGAGTCATTCAAAAGGGCAAGCTGAAGCAGAAACAAAAAGAGAGGAGATGACAACACCAACCACAGCAAAATCCAGTCATGCAAGCCCTACTTAGGGCCATCACAGACATCCGGACAGCAAAAGTATAGAAACCTAAAATCAGTTAGTGAGTGTCGTGACGGGAATCGGAACATAATTTCGAGGGTCCAACACCAGTATTACCTTTATGATGCCATCCCGATGGACTCTCGAAAGGTTTTCTCTGTACTGTACCTCTCTCAGTGAGCTTTTTCTGTACCTCTACCTCTGCCGTAGCGGCAGCAAAGTGCTACGGTGGTCCGAAGCAAAGTGATGATGATAAAGTAAGCCAGTGAGCGATGATGGAAAAATGCCACTGACCGTCCAAACTGAAGATGCTGGCGATATCGTGGTAGGTTGAAGTGTCGACTACTTGGAACGAAAAGGAAATGGAAGACAATGGTAGAAAAGATTGAGAAGAGATTGCGTCAAAAACTCCCGTCGCGTTTCGTCCCCGGCCATCCTACCGCAAGGTCACGCAGGCCACGAATGAGCCTTCCTTTGTAGTTACTTTGCTTTCCATTATCCGTCCTTTCCTTCCATTTGGTTCATCTCTCATGTCTCCCACCTTCCCGTTTGACATGGTGAATGACCGGAACACAAGGGGTCTGCCCAGGATCGCAACAAATTGCGAGGACGCATGCAGTGTACATGTTGCGACTGAACCAAAGACAGTGCAAAAGCGTCAAGCGATGAAAGCGGTGAGTTGTGGTTGTCAGGAAGTACAAACTGGAAATTTAACAAATACGCACAATCTCGCCGAACAGATCGACATGTGAGATCTAACCGAGCAGCAGCTTCATCTCCATCTTCCACCAACCTATCAGCCCGACCCTCAGCACAGATGAACAACCTCTTCCGCCACAGAAGGAGGGAACAAAAGGCCGTCGTCCACGACGAGGCTGAGGACTATAGTCCTCCCATACGCCAACGCGGAAGTGTATCTGTTGCCTGACCTTCGACACAGGAGCCATCTGCTTCATAAGAACCAGTCCGGCCTGCTGCTCGTCGCCGGATTCCGTCCACCGCATCAGCAATAAGAGAAGGAGGTCGTTCCGCGGAGAGCTGCTGACGTCCCAGTGAACTTGTACACCGAGCTCCGGGAGAGTGTTGCGTCATAAAATCCGGGCAGGAAAAGTCGACAACGTTGGCCAAGGAAGTGATGGTAAGCCTGAGCGTGTCGGGGTCGAAGAGGTCCTGATACCGCAAAGGAAGAAAGTGCACCGCGGGGCTCGCCTTGGACCTGGAGTCAGTGATCTTGTAAGCCCAAGACCATGAAGGAATTACCGGCTTGAAGCGGCTCTCGCGCCAGCGAGGATCTATCGGTTGGGGGTTAGGCTCAAGACGAGCCCACAACAAGTCGAAAGGCCAGAGTTCTTTCCATGTCCCGGCTACGTAGGTCCATCCCCTTCCTGACATGATAGCCTCTGCCACTCCCGCAAATGTAATGAATCTGTCCTCTTGCTTGGTGAAATTCATCCTGCAATAGTCGCTGACCATTCTCATCCAGCATTTGGAGAGGTCTATCATGCTCTGAGCTTCGTGTTTCAGCTTGTCGCCATCGGATTCAAGTGCCTGGCCACGAAGTGCTCAAAAATCTGATTTTGCGCACATAAGTTGGTTGTAGAATGGCACGACTGGGGCAGATTCCTCCATAACCGATAGTCCTTCTGAGCGCCTATACCGAGCACACTCCCAGTAGATTTGAGGTTTACCCATGTATATCACGCGGTTTGACAACAACTTTTCTTGAACAACCCAGCCACGGCGAAGATGAGGTGGACCTCCGTTGTCGTCTTCCATTGGATCCAAATTCGCGCTGTAATGCCTAAAGGCGTAAACATCGTTTTTGTCGTTCCACTGCCTCCTACCGAGGTAGCAGGGGAAAAGGTTCAAGGGGTTTATTTTCACGAAGCAACTGTGTCCAGGTTCTCCCGAAGCTGCAATGTTGCAGGAGGTATTACCGTAGACATCTTTCATGGTGAGTGCCTCTACGGCCCAGTCTTCCGACGAATCTTGTATAATGCAGAGAGAGTCGATCCAGATGTACCGGTAGCCTAATCGGCAAGTAATATCCATGGCATCCCGAAGTGTCCTTCTGAAGAGCTCGACTGGGATGCCATGTTTCACGAAAGTTGTGTAGCTGCTTTTTGCCAACGTTAGGTCCATACTCAAATTTCCCCAGCAATGGCTTAATGTCAAGTAGTGTCTCTCGTCCCTGTTACGCAAACTCCTGGTCTCTACAAGCCGGGGTAGGAGTGGTCCTTCGGCTTTCCCAACATCAATGAGCCGCGTTGGAAGCTTCCCTGGTCCAGCGGTTTTGAAAGGAGACAGGCATTCGTTGAGCCAATATTGAATTGTCGCAACAGACTCTGGAGAATCGGTTGAAACAGGGAGCGGGGCACCAGAACCCGATATCGACGGTGGAGATACAAAGCCTGTACAGCGTTGTTAGTCACCGCTCACGGTAATATTGGGCCCAATACAACTCAGCAAGTGACAGTTTAATGGGCGCGGTGGTTGTACACAGTACCATTCGTCTTTCGAAGACATATGACACCCAAGGATATTCCGCCTTTCCAGCGCTCCCATCCTTGCAACCCAAGGAATCGGTCATTGAGGACAGAGTCCAATCTGATCAGCGTTTTCCATTTGGCTTGCGGATGTCTGCACGTCCGTCAGAATATCGAAGCTCATTATCGTCTGCCCGGTCGCCCATTCCTCGGTCACGACACTCGAATGATACCCTGGGTTGTTCAAGCGCTGAGGCAGGCGTGCTCTGGTCCTTGTGCCGGAAATACTTGTTCTCGTCCCAGGAAACAATGGAGCAAAGATGGCAGCCAGAAGCAACTGACGACATGATAATCTCGAGCCCTGGGCTGTGAAAGAAGATTTCTTTTACCGTCGGGACCTTTCTCCTGTTGCGAAGCTTGTAGGGGTCGGCGGCGATTAAACGTTGGACGGTTATGGAATTGCTTACGATTCCAGGACAGCTCCCACACAAGCGGTCTGGAACCACCCCATCTGTTTCGCAGTCCATATTCGTGGAAGGGGGCTCATTCGAGATATGATCAAACCAAGTTGTGGCACCACGTACTATGTAGAGATGAAAACAGGTCGGCAGGGTATTGATCTGAAGGAAGATGTGGCGGAAGAGAGACGCAGCTATACAGCCCAATGGTCATGCTCCCAATCAACATGTAATCGGCGTACTCCTTCCCTGGGCAGGCAGGAGTGTAACAACGGGAAAAGGACCAATGGCGAGGCATCTGAAGGCCTCGGCCACGACTTCAGCTCTTAGACCTAGTCTACCTAGATACGTAGCCAGTTGTCAAAGACTGAGGCGATGTTGCGGCGTCATGGTGTCTGACATGCGATGTAATCGTCCGCTTGGGACAGTTGAAACATGGGCCGTCAAGGGTGCTTCTCGAGGATGGGAGCAGTGATGTGAAGAGATTGGAAATCGCATTGTTGACTGAAAAGTTTGGACCGCGGCTTGCCTTGCAGCGAGGATGGAGCTGCGCTAACAAGATTTCTCGCTATATTGTTGCACTAACGAGCTCATTCGCACGTAAAACCGGGATCTGCACTATCAGTCTGTTAGAAGGCGCGGCGTCTTAATTGTATGATACGGGGAATTGCACTAATACACTAACAGGCCGGCTCACCTACACCAGAAAACAGAGGTCAACAAAGCTTACATGGAACCTCAAGACAACATCTTGCTCAACAACTACTCACTCGCTCACCAAATTGCTCGTGGACCAAAGGCGATGGTCCGGACGCAGGGAAAACATCTAGTCGGTAGAAAAACCACATTGAGTTTCGGATCATCCAGATCACTACCGAAGCCAGAAGGGGACCGACCAAGTGAAACTCAGCGGTGAGGAAGAAGTAGTAGAGAAACAAGAAGAAAAGGAGAAAAAGAAAATGACCGCAGATGAGTTCTCCAAGGAGGGTGTCGTTCTGTGGGAGTACGGTGGTGGTTGATTAGGAGGAAAAGAAATACGGCCCCGGAAGCCCCAAAATTCCCAAGTCTCGGTTTATACCTTCCCTGAGAGGAGCACAGCACACCTTCCCAAGAGGACGGATCCTGAGAACAGGCACGGCGGCTCCACATGATATCGGCGATATAAAAGATGACGTTGTCGGAAAGTGGGCTGAGTGAGAAAGAATTTCGAGCAATGTAAACACCAAGTGAGCGCTATGTCTTTAGGTGGTCCAAAATGCCGTCCAATCTACTAACTTGAGCAAAGTGCTTCACAAACAACCATCTATCAATCACTCCAATTTTTCTCTTCCCACGATAATCTGATCTGACTTTGATTTTCATCTTCCCAGCAGCAAATGATATAATGTAAAGTAACAAACTCCCAGAAACGCCTTGTCTTGGTGGATGATCGCAACAAATTGTGAGAAAAAGATTACACCTCCTCCTTCTTCATCCCTTTCAACCCCTTGTCCCCTCGTGTTTCACACACCCCCAGCTTAAAACTCAACAGCATCCCTCGCCCTCTTCTTTCTGGGCCCCACGATCCTGTCACTGACCTCCTTGATGCCCTCCATCGGCACATCCGCATCATCAAAGTCCTCATCCACCACGTCTCTGCTCCTCTTGAGACCCTTCATCTTCCTCGTCTGCAACTCGCTGAGATCCAGCTTGCCCATATGGATTCTACCAATCTTGTCACCGATGCTGTCCATGCTGATATTCTTCTTGGTGCGCTCCTCGTTGGTCTTGGGCTTGCGCATCGCCTCCTTGAGCATGTCGGCGTCGGGAAGCTGAATGCGGCCGAGGCGGAAGTCCATGCGGGGACCGTGCTCTTCGACTTCGACTCTGGGAAGCTTCTGGCCGGAGCGCTTGGTGCGGATCATGTAGGCGCGCAGGTGGAGGGTGGGTTTTGTTGAGGGGTCCGAGGGGTCGGCGGAGGAGGTGGGCTCGTCGGCGGAAACGACGATGCAGTACTGAAGACCCTCGACGTCGATCTTGTCCGAGGGGTCGCCGCGGAAGAAGTCGATGAGCATGGATTTGGCGGTGGTGAATTCGTTGGCGACGGGGGATTCGCTGGGGAACTTGTTAGCTTATGCCATCTTCTATTTCTAGGTTTCAGGGTCACATACAAAGCAGTACCGGCAAACACCATCAAAGGCTTGGTGCCAACGGGAACCTTCTTGGTCTTGAACTGGGCGATGCTGCGGAAGGTCTCAGGGTCGAGGTAGAACTCCAGCATGTCGAGCATCTTGTAGTCGAAGGTACGGGCGAAGGTGATGGTATGGGGCCTCTTCTTGCTGCTGGAGCCGAAGAGGATGAGAGACGTGTCGTTCTTCTCGGAGAAGAAGGTCAGGGAGCTGGCATCCTCGAAGGGATGGACGGGGTTCTTCTTGTGGAAGCGCTTGGCGTGGGTTTGGCGCAGGGAGTAGAGATCTTGCATGGCATCTTGGGTCTGCGGAGGACTGTGTTAGAGACAGTCGTGTATGAGATGATATGGAGAAGGCGACATACAACTTGGCTGCACTGGGTGCCGCGAAGAAAAAGGGCGGTCTTGGGGTTCTCGTTGAGCTTGGGGGCACGCTTCTCGAGCGCCCTCTTGGAACGGGCTGTCCGCGGCTTGCTGTGATGGGAGGACTGTCAGCTATTATTCTACATTTTCCACTGTGATGATCGATTACGTACACTTGGCGGAGCATTTTGGCGGTATTATTATGCGACAACGGTGGTGGATGGACTGGGTAGGTATCGCAAGTTGGTGATGGTGGACAACTAATGGGGGAGAGTGGTGGTGTGGACTGGGGACTGTTTGCGGGCGGGTTCTCTCCTTCACCTGCAAATCGTCGTGATGGTCGAGCAAAGAAATTCCAGAACGGCGCTTATCGATAAGGAAGCTTGAAGTCAAATTTTTGTGGGGTGGGTGGGGTCAAGGTTGTCCACTCATCCACTGGGCGCTGGCTTTCCCCTGTCTGCTGTCCAGGGTTCATTGTTTCCATTTCACAACGTCACTGCCATTTGATCCCAACTGGTGATGGAGTCAACTTAGGACCGATTCAGGTCATTCCGAACTGCTCGAAGCTCAAGGTCTGAGGCCCAAAACCAGTCCATGAAAGTTAGAAATGCGAGTCCGGATGCCTTACATCTTGGAGTCTCGACAGCATCACGCTGCTCTATGACATCGGCCATTCCCCAGAACCTCCATATGGGTATTCAAGACCGAAGGTCCAAAAAGTTACCACCTATGGAAACCATCTTGAGGTTTCATCAGCGAGTGCAGACTTCAGGTTTTCTAAATTGATCTTGGAGACTGCCGGCGAGCATCACAGTGTTCTGATTCTGCCTCCTCTCCATTTTAGGTTTCTCTCTTGAACTGACATCGAGTATACCTACGCACTCTTTGGTCAGCTTTCTATAAATGAATGACTTTGCCAGCCTTCAATCGTTGATCGATCTCCATGAAGCTCTACCAGTATACCTTATCAAACCCTGTGATTACCCGCTATATTCAAAGTATTCGGTCATTGTGAAACTCTGGATCTTCCCATCGAAACCAAAGCACGGGTTGCACAGTTTCTTTGGTTAGTGACGCTCGACCGGCACGGCATCAAAAACTGCCTGTACCCATACTACCTACATACCTCCGAAACGCACATTCTACCATAAACCGTTGCAGATCTTCTCGGAAGGCTTCGTTCTTCGGTACGGTACTCCCATCGTGCAATCCCTCTCTTACCTTACCTTGCCTTGCCTTACCTAGCCTTACTGCCTCCTCCGTCAGTGGATGTCCAACGCCATCGGGAAGCTACCTACCTACTTCCAACGGTTTGAGAAGGGCGATTGCATTCTCGTCCTGCTCGTCAAGCCATTGTTACCTCCCGTTTCTACCGTTCAGAGTGTTCGGAAACTCGGACATACATAGTAAGGGATGCTTCATAATGTCTCCTTCGAAAGTTCCATGCAGTTTCCCGTGGCCGAACTAGAAGGCGTCAGGATGCAAGCTGCTGTGACTCGTGAGCTTTCTCCGGATCTGCGTAATTGTAGGCATGTTCCCGTGGCGGAAAGAGGTTTGGAGCGGCTTGTTCCGTGCAGACGCTCGAAGATAGACTGGATGGTGGCTGGCTTGTTGCAGTAAACCGATATCAGGTGCCTTGGAGTCCCGAAATGCTGATTATCAGGCCATATTTGGTACGATCTGGAATAAGTTTTGGCGGTTTTATACCGTGATTTCTGAACGGAGTCATCATGTAAAGTGATCAAAATGCAGTGGCATTCCGTGCTTGACGATGGGGATTTCTTGGACCGAGTATCGACACGGCTTGTTCGACAAGCTCCCTCCCGGAACCGCGTAACAACCTCTCCAAAACGAACTCCAAAAGGTAAAATCAATGTTCACTGTTGGTACGAAGAAAAGGAAACATCAAGAGTCGCAAAGTGCAAAAAGCCAAAAAGAGATTGTTGATCTCCCTCGGTAAGGATCGAACTTACAGCCTCCAGATTAACAGTCTGACGCGCTAGCCAATTGCGCCACGAGGGATATCTAGATGTTGTTAGAAGGCTGTCAGAAGCTTGTGCCTATATCCAACAATTTGCAGCGGGTGTGCACTTACTACGAACTGCACCTCCCTCCTCCGTTTGTGATGAACTATTGTGTATTCTTGTTTTTTTCGATTTTCATTTTGTCGGATGTTTTTGGATTTTTCCTCGATATCCCCTTGGTCACGTTCCACTACCTAACTGACTGAAGGGTTAGGGTCCCTCTTCACTGTCCTCGAGCCGTCTTACATCCCGACTTTTGTGCATCAGTTGTACTAGTGGTGCCAGTCCGCCAGTGTACGAAATCCCGAATGCTGTGATATCCAACTTTGTCTCACCTCACGTTCCCTTTTCTTCGGAAGGACTTCCTTTTTTTTTCTTTGCGTGTTCACATATTTCAATGACTGATAGGTTGAATAGCGGTTGGTTAAAGTTCTACGCCATGTTGCTGGAAACCTGTCAGGCCAGTGGTCTCACCAACCTTTTCTTTTCTCGACACCTCGCTGTGAAAACGTGGGCCTGTGCCGTGAGCGGCCGCGTATCTTACCGAAGAAAAGAAGTTTTTAGGGGTAGTTGACAATACATACATGTTCAGCTCCTGCGGAATGGAAGTCAGACAGTACTGCAGTCCAGTCAGCAGTGTGAGTGTTGGCTTATTAAGTGTGCCGAGAAGTAACTGGATACATCTATGACCGTAATATTCATGTAAGTCCCATCGACTATTCCCACCGGGAATGTATATAACTCCAGTTCGGGTATGTGTAAATCCGGTCAATACCTCTATGTACGTCCTAGCACACCGGAAAGCCATTGATGCTCGCCATAGCCCACCATAGGGAACCATAGAGAGCACAGCTATCCATAGCTTTCGTCTCTAAACGTGGGGGTTACATCCCCCTCTCCTCATCCCAACCTCTTCCCCAACAAGTGACAGCAGCATTCTCACTGGTCACCACGGTCTTTGGAAATACGATAGCGAGTGAAGATCTTTTGGTGCTTAGCATTTCCCGATCTTCGCCGTCGTATATTGTCAGGTTTTCTCCCCACGTTTTTGGGCGTATCGTAATATCTGGTTTCTTGGTTTCTGGTACTTCGTTATCCGGCATTAGCGTAATATGTAGTACCGTAGCAACAATTGGACTTCCCGGATGTCTCGGGTTCAAGTTGCATCGTGCTGCCCGTGTCATCAGTCGTCACACATTCACATGTATTTGTATGTCCCTGAGTGGGCAGGGCGAGCATGGCGGGCATTGGCTGTAATGTATAAATTGTCACCCTCTGGGAAGATCTCAGGACGCAATCGCGCGGCTCGTTGGAAAAAAGTTGAAGTAGGGAGGATCCGCGCGGCTCGTTCGTTGTTAATGGCTGCTGAACTTTATAAAGGTAGTGTTGTCAAGAGCCAACGGGAACAAACCTCAACTGACTGAAAGACGGCATCGAACCAACCAACCAACCAACCAAGCGATGATCTCAACGAGAGGCCATCAGGCCGCATTCCTCCCTCTCCATGCACGCTTTTTGCGTTTCTGTTGTGCTCTCAGAACTTCAGCTAACAAATTCCGGTTGTACGACAGCTGAGCCTGCCAGACCGCTGAGAGTCTGAGGCTACCTTGGGCCAGACCACGCGGCCTAATGATGGCCCGGTGAGCTTGTGTAAGACGTAAGTATCGACAAGTAGCTACCTGAGCTACCCTCAGATCACAATAAGGTGCCATTACCCTCGGGTGAACAACTTGTGTGGCGTTGTGATTGTGCAGTTTGTTAGCTCCTAGGCTTGCTAGGCTCAATTCCTGCCGCAGAAAGTGGCTTGCATGGAAATTGAAGAGTGACGCCTTCGTCGGCTTCGAGGAGGCTACCCTGCTACCCGGCACATTTGTGAACTGTGTGATAGAAGCCTACAGCGAACAATGAATCCGAAAAGCGTATCGCGGGTCCCGACACGAGGCGCTTCCCAAGACCCAAGTGCCGACCGACCTTTGGGAAGACCTTTTTCTAAAGCGCATCGCCGCATCGCCGCATCGCCGCATCGCCGCATGGCAGCCTGACCGCTTTTCCTACTTCTTATGTTCGTCAAGTTCAACTAAAGTAGTGTGGATATGTTTCAGACCAGTTAGACAACACAGCACTGGCGAGCAAGCGGCTGATTCGGCAAGCGAAGGGGGTAGCTTGCATTGGGAAAGCTTCTTTGTTTTCTCTTCGTCGATATCGGAGTTTCGTGGTCCTCCCTGGATTCCCTGGTAAAAGGGAGAAAGAAGTTCGAGTACACGTGGTTTATCGTCGCACTTGGACTCGCTCGAGTAGTGCCGGACCACCGTTACCCGGCTTTTAGGAGGTATCCGTCTTTTCAGCCTTTCTCTGTGTTGTGTTACGGATCACTCTCGTGTTAGGTTGTGCACCACAGACCTAAGAAGAAGCTAGAGAAGCAAGATGGATGCGACATGGCCCTGTTGGTCAGAGATACAATGGTGAACCCGCTTTTGAAACGGCGAACGACCGACGAAGCGAACCGTTGTGTTTCTGTCAGAAGTTTCTTTTTCAATAGCGCCGTCCCGTCGATTCGTAAGCGAACAGATCATTGCAGCGGTGGTGGTTTGGAGGAGCATGGGAGTAGGGGAGCCAGCTAGGGATGAGGGAACGGAAAGGCCCGTGCTGTCGGAATCGGGAGTCGTTAGTTTGATGCTATCGACAAAGGTCAGTGAGGTAGCATGAAGAGCGGGTCATTCGAGGTCCTTGTGTCTGTTCATCCTCATTTTGATGAAGAACTGCTTCCGTTGTGACTTTGTAGGGATTTGGCTGCCGGCCTGCCCCCTGGCCATTGTCAATGACGTAGTGGTTAATTTTAGCGGTTTAGCGGGCAAGCATCATATCATATCATCCGTTATCCTTCTGGAAGACTTTGCATCGTTCCAGGACTGCGTTTCGATAGTCGACAAGCATGAAAGAAGGCTTATGTCGTTGGCAGATGGGGTGAAGATGGACAGAGATGGGAAAGAGGCAAAGTTGGATATATCCCCCATATCAGGATGTGCATTTTCCATGGTCTTCAACGTTGCAGTATCCAGGGGGAACCTCGGCTGGCCGGCTGCACTGCAGTGTTGCTCTCCCAGCTGTTGTCCGGCGCGTGTCCTTGGGGTGGGTGTCCTGGGTTTGGTGGTGTGCTCTTTCCAAATCGACGATCGAGTTGTTGACTTTCCACTTTGTAGGACGGAAAGCTACCAAAAGCTCGCTGTTTCCAACCCGTTTTGAAGCCGACAAATGCAACCCAAGACCGGAACACTTCATCCCACTTCGGAGGAACGCGCTAGTTGCGGACATCCCTTTTGATGTTTTGGGAAATCCACTCCAGGCAGCCTTCTCAACGGCACACACAAAAAAAAGAAGTGGAAGAGAAGAATCTGTGCCGTCGACACGTTGCCAGCGCCCGGTCTTGTGTTCCGAAAGTTGGCCCTGTGGTTGCGCCTTGGAGCCCCAAATCAGGTAATATCCACGCCTTGGCGGCGCCATATCGACGTTGCCCAAAGTAGATTAGACGCCTAAGAGCGGCCCATCGGTGTCCATCTTGGAGCGGTCTTGGCACATGATGGGATCCACGCTTCAGCACGCTTTTGCGCTGAAGGTGGGTGATCCAAGACCTGGAAGAAGCGAGGTGCAGCCCACCCACTGGTGTTTGGGTGTGTCCATGTCTCTTCACGGGCATCCATCCATTGCAGCGAGTTCAGCTGGCATGGTCAAAATGATGGTGTCGCTAAAATGTCGCCGAGGGCCGAACCCATGTCCAAAGGGGTACAAACTCCGTATACGCGGTAAGTTTATATTTACATTTACGTACCCGGTGCTTGGAAAATCATTTGCTCATCTCGACAGTTTTGTTTGGGATAGGGGAGGTCAGTCCGGTCTGAAGAGAAGGAGAGGAGATGCTCAAGAACGACAGACACTTGCCCTGAGGAGGCCCAATCAGTGCCTGCGTCCTTGCTTGGACATGAAAGTGCCCCGGAGCAGACTGACTTCTGTACATACCTACATAATACAGACGAACCATTGAACGAACCATTGATCCTGCATCATCTGCACTGCACAGAGCCCCGATGAGAGGAACCCGACACTTTCCACTTGATAGTTCGCATGCTTTCGTCCGAACATCGGTGCCATCATGAAATCCTTAGCGTCATACTAACGGTCAGACTCCAACTCCAACTCTTTTTGAAGGCAACAACAGAGGGAGAAGTTGGCCGTGCCTGCCTCTCTCCTGCCTGTTGTCAAGCTGTGCAATTGTTAATCCTGTGTCCACCCTACCGACCGTACAGGGAAAGCGCCTCCAGAGGGTACATGTAGACAAATGCAGTCCCCACTGCGGGAGTGCGAGTCGTGTTGATTGGGCCCGCCGAGCTTGATTGGAGCATTGTTGCAGCATTGAATTGGAGAATTGGCAAGAATGGGGCTCGTAAGAAAAAAAAGAGAAACGGGAAGAGCGAACGAACGAGTGGACGGGAATTGGAAGACTCCGCCTGCAGTGGTTGTGCCTGCTGTTGCGGCTGCTGTTGTTTTGCTCAGGTCCTCCTCCTTCCTCCTTCTCTCTCTGTCGAGTCTGCTCCAGCCTCCAGCCTCCAGTCTCCAGTCTCCAAGTCTCCAGTCTCCAGTCTCCAGTCTCCAGTCTCCAGTCTCCAGTCTCAATTCGTTCATGTGTGTGTTTTGTCTCCGATCTCTTCGTTCGTTTCGTTCTTGCCTCACAGTCCGTCGCAGACAGTGACAGTTGAGAACTGACTGAAGCTGACGGAGCCAGAGTGTTTGACTTCAGTTTATTCTTCCACTTCATTTTCATAATCCTCTTCTTTGTTGCCATCAATACCACACCTTACACCGTACATACAGACCCCCGACTTTCGTTGTTACCACTGGACTCTCAGCTCCTCCTGATCTTCAATCATCCCCCACCAACTGCACTACACTACCACACAACAGCTACATAACATACCACAAACAGTACAAGGCCCGGCGGACTGTCTCCATTCAGCGGCTACCTAGCTCTTCCACGGCTACGGCACTGCAATCATATCATTGGCATCACCTCATTTCGGGAGATTATCGCATTGCCCTGTCCCTCCGTTTATACAGATCGCTACCAACCCTTACCATTGCTGTTATAGAACAAGGAGAGAACAGACGTTGGACGGAACCACACCTTTCACTTCGACACAGACAAGACAGACACTTCCGACAAAGAAAGAGAACCAAAAGAGCCGGAGAGTGAGCAGTCAACAAGAGGATACAACGGTACCTCGCCTCGCCTCGGACTCTACCTCTACTTACCTCTACCGCCCATCAAGGTCTCAGGTCCCCGCACATCCACTATACAACCTGGTACCTTTTGTGCCCCTGGATTACACAAGACAGACGCCACAGACCCATCCACTGCCAATCATCAGCCATACCGCCCATACCTCCTACAACCACTATACTCTCTGCCGGCCAGAGACAGCTCCTCAACCAAGTATCAAACACCCAAACCGAGCCCGAACCCCGACCGTTACTATAAGCACATCGCCTGGTGATAATACAATGTTCTAAGAAAGCAAGGCTGCCAGCATAGCTGCAGTTCTCAGACGGGCCCTTTTCCTTGATTGCTCGACTGCAACTACTATAGACTGCCAGGTTCCGGCAGAGGCGGCACCCAGTTCTTTACCTTTGAAATCCCCCCTGTTACATACTATACCTACCTGGTCCAGGATCCAATCTCGAGATCCCCCGTCTGGCTGCTGTGCTGGCTCTGTGCTGCTTGCTGCTTGCTGCAATTCCAGTTTACCTCCGTCAGTATCACAGCACCATCGCATATCATCCTCACCGATATCACCATCTAGTATACGGTACCTTCGACGGCGGCCTGTATGGATATCGCGAGAACGGTACAAGGCAGCAGGGCTATAGCGCTGTACGCTTTCGACTCTCCAAAGAGTCCCGAATCATCCACCAGCAGCCGCGGGCGAACCAAGGCCGAGCACGACGGAGACAAACCCAGCAAGCCAAGCACGCCTTTCAGCAGGGGCAAGTCGCGGGCCGGCCGCACGTCAACCAGCACCACCTCCAGCAGCACCACTCCCGCGCCCACCTCCAGCGGAAACGACGACTCAGCGGCAGAACCAAAGCCGGGAGGCTTGCTGAAACTCGACATCCCCCACACCACTGGCCTCGACAACTGGATAAGCTTTGGTGCTCTTGGTAGTACTGCCCGGCCTGATGAGATGAGTGGTCCTGCGCATATACTTACGAGGACGGCTCCGGCTGTCGTCACCACCACCACCCCTACGAGCGCAACCAAGTCGGCCACCAGTCCAGCAAATACCCACAGGCTGTCCACCCTCTTTACCTCCGGCCGCTGCAACTCTCTTCCCAGTCGCATCGATTTCCTCAACTCTCCCACCAGTCCCATCTCCCCCACAAGCGTTCCCCCGACCCTCCCCGACCTCAATGTTCCTCTCACACTAGACTTTGCTGCAGAGCTTGAACGGTCGTTAAGCATTGGCTCCAAGATTGAGCCTTTGCGTGGTGTGGCCCTGAAAGAAACAGTCGTTACCATCAAGGACGCAGAGCCAGAAACACCGCCCGCCGCCAGTGCGCCAGTTGCGCCCGCTGTTGTACCCGTTAGCACAACCGAGCCGACCAGAACGAAGACGACCACGACCACAACCACGACCACAACCTTAACGGCCCCGATCATTCCCCCAAAATCGCCGGCGCGGGAACCCCTTCCTCGGAGGAAATCAATGATTGATCGTCCGCGCTCATGGATGCCTGGTTCGACCACGACTGTTATTTATGACGCCAGAGAGACCGCCGAGGACCGTCGCACCAGAAAATTGTCGAAGCCGAATCATGCTGGAGGGGCGCGGGAGGTCGCGCAGGAAGTGCAGAGACCCAAGACGGCCAGTGTAGAATCCTTTGCCGATTATGCGAAGCGCTCGTGGATTTCGACTTCGAGGTCTCCGTCTCCACCTACAAAAAAGCTCGAAAGACAATCACCAGCGGAGGGACGCAGGACGTCCAGAGGATTGCTCGGGCTTGGCAGTAAGAAGGAGAAAACTGCTGGGGGTGTTAGTGGGAGCGGCGCCACAGCGGCAGGTGGTGACGCACCACAAGAGAGTAGCCGGAGCCGAGCTCTACAGCGGGCAAGTACCTTTGTGGCTCGGATGAAACAGCGACCCCAAAGTGTCTTCTCCAAAAGCTCGTCATCCACCTCGGTATCAGCTTCGTCTGTCAACAGCTCAAAATCAAGTGACATTGACAGCAGCGCATCCTCCAGCATTGACAACAGTAGCGCTTCCGGGGTAAAGCCCGTTGATCAGTCCACCACTTCTTCCACGACCACAACCACAAAGTTGTTGCAAGCAAAGGATGCCAAACACGATGTTTCGAGCAGCAATAGCGACGCCCCATCAACAACCAGGAATTCGTCTTTGGACACTACTGTTACAGCAGCTACCTCCGAAAACGCATCCCAGTCCACCGCAGAGACGAGCATCACGATGCCAAACCCTTCCTCCGGCGACCCCCTATGGTCGACCTTCCGAACGCTCGATAGCGAGTTTTCCAAATTCGTGGCCAAGAATTCGACCCCCATGCGAATGAATGTAGTACGATCGACGCTCGTACCTTTCCTCCGCAGCACGTCACACCACCCGTCCAACTCGAACACAAAGCAGCTTTCACCAGAAGACTTTGATCGCCGAGCAACAATATTGAATAAATGGTGGAACGGTCTCTTGGACATGTTGGATGCTGGGCAGTCCAGGCTGGAAAGGAATGCTTTCGCCGTGTCCATGGGCACCGGCTCTGCCATGTCCCCTCCTCCCACGTTGGGCACTAATCTGCAACCAGTGGCAGGCATCGACAGGCCGATATTACTCGAAACCATCACCATTATCATGATGCGTCCAGAGTGGAGGTCATGCACCAGTTCCTTCCAGCCGCTATCAAAACGTTCCCCAGAGGAGCGTGTGCGCGCCCGATCGTCGACACAGTCCACCGCAGACGAAACCGAGCTGGCTGCCATTGACTTTGTCGCCCAATCCGCCGAGCACAATGTGCGGACCATGTTCGTCAACAGCCTTACCAGGCAGATGGCTCTCGTGGTGGATAAGTTGTCACTACGACATGCGCCTCTCAGCTTGGTCAACTGGAGCGGCAAGGCATGCGCCTATGCCTTTTTCTTCGTTCCTGGGATAGCCGACGTCCTTGTGCGCCTTTGGCAATTGAATAGCGATCTTCTGCGCCGGACGTCAGACGAGTTCAAGCTTCCAAGGAGGAGTAAGGGCGAGAGCGAGGACATTGTGGCGCTGTTCCCACCACATCTTGGGAAGCTGGGTTGGACGTCAGTCAAGACACTGGGCAACAGATTGCGCCTGGCAGCAAAGCTACCCTTGAACCAAGCCAAGATTGCCTGGCATGGTCCCTGGGTCTCCAGATGGCGAGGAGGCGATACCGACTTGTTCTATGTCTTCTGCAAGTACTATCACATTCTGTCTGCTGACTTCATGCCGGAAGGTCTTCCTCTCGTCGAGAAGGCGCGTGCCCCAGCTTTTGTCCTGGTGCATGCTCAGCTTCTCTCAACCTTGGACGGCGCGATTCACCGTCAGGCCTCTATGGATGCATTGCTGGGACCACCGATCGCCGATAGTCTCCATGGTACCGACGCGACCATGACCGGAGCAACTGGACTCTCGCTACCCAGCAATGTCTTGAAGGGAATGGACGAGAATAGACTTGTTGCCTTGCTGAAGGATATGTTGTCGGAGAAGTCTGTGGTTGGATCCGAGATCAGGCATAACTTTGCCGAGTCTTTCATGGCTGTTATGGTCGCCGCTACCAAGCGGACATCCAGATATGAGCACGCCGCTTGTTTCATGCTTTGCGATTTCCTCCAGGAGGCACTTACGGCGCTCAACACGTACCAGGACAGTCAGAACAACAGTGTCGCCACCTCGCCTATTCAGGAGACGATGCCCACCTCCGCCTTCGATACCTCTAGTTCGCTTGTTAACTACATTGACTGGCCATTCTGGTTCGAGGTCGGCAAGATGATCATGGATTCCAACAATACCATGTCGGAGATTCGCATCATCTCGTTCATCTACTCGGTGTGGGATGCTATCGTTGCTGATCCGGCACGCAAGGAGAAACTCTGCTGCGAGTGGTTGTTGACGGAGGAGACGTTTGAGAGGTTCTTCAATCATTGGTGTCCCATGGTTCGCGCCTATTATATGCGTCTGCTGTGTTGGCGTGTCTGTAGGGACACTGGTTCTGTGAACGAGCTGGACAAGTAAGCTTCCCCTTTTGTTGACGTTTTTGTACTTGCCTGCTAACCGTTGTATAGCAAAATCTTCCTGCTTGTTGCACAGCGATTGAGGACTGTCTGGTCGCATTACCTATGGATGTGGCAGACTGCTGAAGCTGAGGGTCGTATACCTCCTTCAACGGCACCCTGCCTACCAACTCCTGGCAAGCGATTCCTCATCATTCGAAGCGAAGTTCAACCAGCGCAAACGCCTTTATATCTTGGCTTCGACTCCTTCACCAGCTCCTTCCCAGGAATAGATGGCCCCTCCGACTACCAGTTCACCAGTAATGAGAACAGGTCAAGCGTGAGGGTCGAAGAGACATCCAAGAAGAGATGGTCTCTCCTGGGCAAGGTTCTCAACTTTACCGCTTCGCAGGCTCAACCCTCCAATAGTGCCACAAATGGCAAGCGCACATGGGATGAAGAACTCGAGCAAGCTAGGCGCGAAACGGCTGCGGCCGCTGCAGCTCGGGCTGGTCCTCCTCCGCCTCCGAAGCAGAACTCCTCGATGAACGCCAAGCCGTCATCCGACTCGGCTTCCTCAACCGGATCCGCTCCCGTCTACGATGTGGCCACCTTCGTCTTCCGGTTCGCTCTCACTTGGCAAGGTACGAACGGCCTTGTTGGACCCCAACGGGATATGGTCCTATACCGGCCTCGCCTTCCAGCCCCCGCTCAATCCAGGGTTCTCACCCGGGCCATCGTCTCCGACGGATCTCCCAACGGCGAGATCTACAGCAGCCCTGGATCGCACCTTATCAGGCCCGGTCTTCCACCTGTCACCCGTCGTTACAGCGGACAATCAGAGACTGGCCTGATCAACCATGTCCGCAACGCTCGTCCTCTTTCCATCGACACCTCGCCACCTCCCCCAGAAAGAAACCCCAACCGCCGCCGCTCAACAAGTATTAACCTCGCAATCCTCCACGGTGTTGGCGAGTCTGATGACAAAAGCGCGCTGGTCAAGACACGCTCCGCTGCAAGCATGCAAGACAGCAGTCCATTTTCCCGCGCCTGCTCACCGCCGCCTGCTGGGTTCGACAGCGAAGTCAATCGTTTGAACCTCGCCGTCCGCGCTCAGAAGCCTGTGGGGATCTACGCCTCGGGCGCGGTGTATTCTGGCAGAGCGCTGGCGGAATGGAGCCTGGTGGTGAGTGAGTGTAACAGCTTTATGGATAGGAGGAGGGACGAGGGCGTGTTGGGACTGAGGGATGTGGAGGTGCCCAACTTGGGAGTGGAAGGAATGGGGTTGAAGAGAGGGGGTTAAGAAAGCATCCGACACAGACCGCCGTAATGGCTGTCGATACCGGTTTTGGTTAAAGCGAGCATGCGGTGGAAAAGCTGGCTGGCAGGAAGCCGGAATGACTTTGGAATGATATTTTCTTGGATTTTGGATTTGTCGGTTGTTGAGATACCCTCCCCTTTTTATCATCACCTTTTTACATCATTTTCAACAATGACGGCACATCTGTCTCTCTCAAACGAGCATTGCCTGGCATGGCATGGGGTTTGCCTGCATTATCATCATTATCATCATCATTATCATCGTATACCCACCCACCTGTCTGTCACTACAACATGCAACAAAATTTCCTTGTCACCATTCACCGAACAAGCAACAAAATCTGGCGTTCCACGGTCGACTTTTACATCTCCTTGATCACCTAATTCGCTTCATCATCATCATCATCTTTCGATGCTTGCTTCGATTTCTTTTTCACCTTGCTGCATAGACCACACGAAAACTTTCACACCTTTTTTTAAAAAAAAAAATACTTTGTTCATATCACACGGCCGGCCTCCACACCATACCGTCCGGGATTCTTTTGCCATACATACAAACACATAACAACATATTTCATAGCTTTCTCATTCTCATTCTCATCATGGTTCCCGCACGGCGCAGGGCTGGCATCTTCGCTTTTGGTTTCACGGTTGACACTTTGCAAGTTTGGAGGTCTTTTTATTCATTCTGTTCTTTTAGAGAGAGAGGGGGAGAGAGGTCGAGATCGGCTACGTCCGTCCGACAGTTCGTCTGTTCATAGCTTGATGCGATGCGCTTCCGAGGAAGCAGCAGCAGCAGTAGTTTTATTGTTTATTGGTGATCACTGAGTTTGGGGATTAATTGAACATGTTCACATTTTACAAACCATTAGTAGGGTATTATGGGCGGTATGGTGATAAATGACGACCACTTTTTGGTCATGAGAGGTTGCTTGGGAGCATGGAGTGGAATGGAGTGGCGACGCCCCTGTCATGGAAGAAAAAGTTGGAGGCATTGCTTAGTTACACCGGTAATATACTTTGGGAAGACATTTGAGCATCGACTTGGTGAAGATTTTGGGTGTGGGAAGTGATTGTGTGATGTGGTGTTCGTGAAGGACGTGTTTTAGACCGAGTGGTCTTTGCGGGAATGAGTAGGTATCTCAAATACCTATGGGAACTAAGAAAGGCCGCCAGGCACAAGGCTCGAGAAATGTTCGGGAGGATGGAAAGTTTCCAATATTACCTGGTATACAAGATCGGAGTCAAACGACAGCTTCGCATCTTTCCCCGTGTAGAATACTTGCTTGCTCCGTACACCCATTACTTCTACCTTTCTTTCCTAACTCCCTTATCTCTCCCCTTCTTCCCTTTTTTTTTCCTTTTTTTTTCATGCTTCCTCCTCGACTTCTTTTCCTCTCCCCATAGGAACCATCCAAGTATACTTCCCCCAAAACAACCTCATCCCACACCTCGCCGATGCACCTGCAAAACACACATACCTACTTAACTCGCAATATCTAAACCAGACTAAAATCCCAACTAATAAATCCATCCCCATGATCAACATCCCAAAAAGAAGTCATCTCCAAAACCACCATCAATTTTTTAAATTTTTTTTCTCGCCCTTCTTTTCTCCGAAATTACTTACTTGCCGCTATTCTATCCCAATGAATTCTCAAAATGACCCCTCCTTCAATCTTACCTTTTTCTCCGCTAGTTGCGCGAGCGGCGGATATCAGATTACATTGTGCCCGCGAACGGATCTGGTGAGGGCCCGCGGAGGCGGTGGAGAGATGCATTTGGTTGCGGGATGGGCGGGTTTCGGGGGGCTCTGAGGGGGGAGTGAGTGATGGGTAAGGGGGTGGTGAAAAAGTAGTGAGGGAGGGAGGTGAGGGAGGGAGGTGATAGATGTTAACCTCGATTTGCTCGACTTCTAACATGGGGGAATATTTAATAGTAATACTCCAACCGGCAACCGAACCTCGATATAAGAAACCTGCAACCATTTCGATACTAACGACTTGCAGGTAGGCAAGCAGGCAGGTAGGTAGGCAGGAAGACAGGCATCCTTCTTTTCGTCTGGATGGATGGATCTCTGTTCGTTTGGATCTCGTTTCCATTTTCACTTGGGAAAGAAACATGGAACCTGGAACCTTGGAACCTGGGCCTCCTCCACTTTGATGTCATCTGTCTAGTGGCACTTGGTTCTTTCGTTCGAGTCACTCACCAGAGCACAAACGAGAGGGTTGTGATCTCGAACTTTTGGGATTTCTTGATCTTTGCGACTTGTTGATGGTGAAGGTAACGGCACGATCAACAGCAGGAGTGGCAGCAACAGCAGCAACATTAGGAGAAAGAGCATCAGCCACAGGAGCAGAAGAAGCAGAGGCGACATCAGGAATATCATCGTCATCATCATCAGTAGCACCAGAAAAGCAAAACTGTTATTGAGGTTGTGTGCTCCCACAGGCCCCCTAACGCTCAAAAAGTTCCCCCATGAGGGAACAACACGGTGAACACCCAGGACATCAAAAACAAGCCAACCCGTTGCGATCAACAGTTATCACCGGTTTACTCTCAACAGTCAATAATCAACTTGCTGCTATTACCGGAGGCCTCCTTCTGCAGCATCAGGGACGAGAAGGGGTACAACCGCGCGACAGTACGCCCGTTCTGCTACCTTGAGAGCGAAGAAACGGAACTGGATCGATTTCGACTCAGCAGTAGTCATCCGCTCATTCTCAACATTCCGACCAAGCTACATTATCAAAAATACAAGAGTCAGCAAATTCTTTACCAAAGCTTGAACCGAAGTAAGAACGACGGACGACTGCGAATGGACGTTATCGGTCAAGACACTCGCAAACTTCAAGGTCAAGGTTACTGATCTTGCGCAGCTGTCTGGAGATCAGCTTTCTGCCTGTCTTTGTCCTCTCCAACAAGAAGACAAGGCACTTTGATCAAAAGAAACAAATCCTTTGATCTCGACGAGTTGCAATCACCAATTCTCAGTCTAAACTGACTGCACTAACACTTACACGCAGACAAGAAGTGCCGTCACTAACAGTGGGTAGGTGCTTTGACATATGCAGATAAGCAGTTCCCCTGCCAAAACCAGGAACCTGCGCTAATCGCTTAGACCAAACGGCAACGCGCAAGCACCTGACGGCGCGTTCAGTGTGGGGGTGCGTGTGTGTTTTTGTCGCGCCATGGCAGAACGGGAAGGAACGTCTTTTAATTGTACGAGCAGTTCGAATACCCCACCGTCGCCGCCGCCGCAGCAGCAGCAGGAGCAGTATCAGAACACGTCTGACACGACGCGATCCAATCAACAGTCGTTGTCACGGTTGTCGACGTCGTTTGGAAGTAACGACCGTAGTACTAGCTCTGGTGCTGGGTCGTTGTTGACTTCTTCCACTCCAACTTCCCTGACTCCTTCCTCGGTGCAGGTGCCTCCTTCCAATTCCTCGTCTGCTTCTTCTTCTTCCACCAGTCTTGGTTCGTCACTGTCATCTTGGGTGCCGCATTCACTGAAAGTTCTCTACCATTTCACTGCCGGCTCAGTTGCTGCCTCTGCCGCGAGCGGTACGGGTGAATCTACAGTGCTAAATCCCAATGCGTCCGGCGGCGTGCTCGGCCGGTTGCTCACGAGTTCGACAGCGCAATCTACGCTCATGACGCGCAACAATCTGGGGGAGCAAGTTTCTTGGTTGAAAAGATCAGGAAATACCATTGCCATTCCACAGGGACCTGTATATCCTGCTGCGACAAGTGCCACTGGTGCGAATACGAGTGCGACAACCTCAATAGGCGCGATCGAGGATCAAAATAATTTCGTATATCCGACTTCGGCTGTCACCAACCCAAATACTGGAGGAGGAGGAAGAGGAGCTGGAGGAGGACCAAGAACTTTTGTGGTGCCCGCGCTACCATCACCTCTAGTACCAGTACCAGCCCAACAACAACAACAACAACAACAACCACCACTGGGACCACCACCACCACCACCACCACCACAACAGCCATTTATAAACCCAACCTCAACCTCGACTCATACGACTCCGAGATACACAAAATCCACACCCACAACAAACACATCCTCGACAACCAATGACGCCCGACCCGCTACACGCCAACAGATCGCCCCGGAGGTAGGATCGACGGATCAGGATACAGTTGGAGGAGTTGGAGGAATGGCGAAGCTCTCGGTCAAGAATATCCTGCCACGGCCGCACTTGGTCTCCTTGTCGTCGTCGACGGGGTCTGGGTCAGGAACCAGGTCAGCTTCCACTAAGCATGGAAGTGCCAGTTCCAGTACCTTTGATCATCAACAACGGGATCAACAAAAGCGCCAGCGGTCGCAGACAGAAGCACCACAGCAGCAGCAGCAACAACAACAGCAACAGCAGCAACAACAACAACAACAACAACAGCCAACAACAACAACAACAACAACAAGCACAGCAACATGCACATACTACCTCTACATATGCGCAAAGGCCCGAGCCGACACCCCAACAACGACGGCCACCCCAAAACCTCCTCACGCCTGCTTCAACCACTGGCGCCGCAAGCGTCGGCCCGCTCCAACGCGCATACTCGGCTTCATTAGCTTCTCGACAGTCCCCTTCGACCAATCTGATCTGCCCGAAAACAGACTCGTCAGCTCCCCAAGCTTTACATCTCAAGAACAAGCAGAATATCCGCAACCCCGCGCCCACGCCCGACAGTCCTATCGTGGACGACCACATCTTCTCCGACGCCGTCGATCTTACCGAAGAATTCGATGATGACCGCGACGTCAAAGACAAAGAGCACACCGACAACGACGACACGGTCGCTTCGAGTTCGCTAACAGGGTTCGGCGATGACAAGCTACTGTGGCGGGAGGAGTTTGCTGAAAGAGCGACTCCTGCGGGCGAAAGCCAAAGAGGTGGGAGCAGGCCTCGCCAGGTCAAGAAGCGGAAGATATCAAACGACTACAGCGTGAAGGATGAGGAGGTCTCGCTTTTTGACGATGACGACAATGAGGAGGACGAGTTTATGGATATCAACGATTTGGTTGAGGGGGATCAGCAAAGTACTCCGAAACCGAAGGCTACATCGAGGTCTGTGTCCATGAGACTGCCGCCTACAGTATCGCTGCAACGAGGTCGGTCTCCTAAGAGGAAGGAGGCTTCGTTTGAGAAGCGTACGGCAACCGAAGACCAACAGGTGGAAAGATATGAAGAGCCCTCGTTTCTATCAAGTCCGAATGTCGACAACTCCCGCAAGCGCAAATCATCTGAATCTCCAAAAGGTTTGAGGACGCCAAGACCACGAACAAAACAGACGGAAGATATCCCAGCTACGACCACCACCAAAAAGCCAAGGCGTAGTGAAGTGATGGACTCAGAGGATGAGGCCTTCACTCCTCTTTCTGCTGGGTCGCCACTTAGGAGCGGTGGGACTACCGCACGAGAACTGGGTTTGGATGAAGACACGATTATGGATACACCTAGTAGGCCACCAGTCGAGTCAACCCTCCCAACCCTCCCAACCCTCCCAACCCTAGAGTCTGTAGAAAGTCGACCACCGCCGCCGACCATGGACCTACCATCGCGGAAACCTTTGGAACCACTGAACACGTCGCGCGATCAGCTGCTTGAGTCGGTGGAAAGGCCATCGCAGCAGTCATCTGTTGGCCCAAGTTTCACTGCGGCAATTACTATCGGTCAGAGTTTTGCGCAAAGCAGTACACTCGCTGAAAGCTCGCTGCCGCCGTCGATGCCTCCACCCAGTGAAGACCCCCTTAACACAAGGGAGAACAGCAACTTGGAGGAGTTCGACTACCAGCTTCACAAACCTCTTCTTGAACAATTCGTTCGCAGACCCACAATCTTGGAAAGAGAACTGAGCGCCGTTAATAATGAGCTTCAGGAGAACATGCTCAAGATGCGGGACTGTCTGCGACTGCCCAGGGACGAACGAGACAGGGCAAGAGAAGAAGTCAAGAAGGAGAAGGAGATGCTCAAGCGACGGGACATTGCGCTCAAAGCCCTTCAAGAGGAGCACAAGGCGTACCTCAAGAAGAGCAAAGAGCGACAAGCCATCGAAGACGAAATCTCTCGTGCTTATGCGGAGGAAAACGACGAGTATGAGGATCAGTTGATGGTGCAGCTGGACAAGTTGAGTGATGAAGTTGAGGCTATCGAGAGGAGCCTGACGTTGAATATCGTGGCGGCGGGGATTACGGAGAGGAGTTTTAACTTCAAGGAGGAGGAAGAGATGAAGCCTATCATTATCGCGACTCCCACGCCTTCGAGGAGGACTGAACCCCCGGTTCTGCCGTCGACGGAGTATCATAATTCTCAGCAGGTCATATTGCAGACTCAACATCCTGCCATGCAACCAGCTGCTCAGCGGATGCCACCACCGCCGACACCGAGCTTTCAAACAGCGCGCCAGATCCCGTTGTCGTATCAACACAGACCCACCAATAACTCTTTTCCTGACATCTCAGCCGAAGAAGCAATGATGTTCGAGGAAGAAGACCCCTTCATGGAAGAACAGCACCCTCCACCTTCTGCTCCCTTCCAGGCTACTCTCCCCCAGCGCAACAGCCCCTTCAAAAACGTACCACACAAACCGATCCATGGCCATGATTACTTCGACGACGAAGACGACGACGCCGATCTCCTAGCAGCAGTGGACAGCGTTGAGACGTATACTTCCACGGCCACCCACACTAACAATCAGTCACGATCGCGCTCGGTGATGTCGACATCCACGGCGACTACGATCAAGCCGAGGAAACGGAACGAAAAAGCCAACACTAAGAAGGCCAAGCCGCGCCAGGCAGAACTGTCGATGCCGCCTGACAAGATGAAGTTTCCGTGGTCAAATGATGTGAGGAAGGCGTTGAAAGATAGGTTTCGGATGGCGGGGTTCAGGCAGAACCAGTTGGAGGCTATCAATGCTACTTTGGGTGGGAAGGTGAGTTCATTCTTTATTTTTCCCGATGAACAAAGAAGAAGAGAAGGGAGTTGCTGACTAGAAACAGGACGCCTTCGTGTTGATGCCGACTGGTGGCGGCAAGTCTCTGTGCTACCAGTTGCCAGCTGTGGTCAAGAGTGGGAAAACCCGTGGCATCACAGTCGTGATTTCCCCTCTGCTAAGTCTGATGCTGGACCAAGTAAACCATTTGAAAAACTTGATGATCACAGCTTACGCTTTCAACGGAGACATGAATGCGGAAACCCGCCGAATGGTGTTTCAAAAGCTTGATACCCCGCATCCTGAACATGAACTCCAGCTGCTTTATGTCACCCCGGAAATGGTAAGCAAGAACATGCAGTTCGTCGGCAAGATGGGAGACCTTTACCAGAGGAACAAGCTGGCCAGAATCGTTATCGACGAGGCTCACTGTGTTAGTCAATGGGGCCATGACTTCCGACCCGATTACAAAGCTATAGGAGAGTTTCGTAAGAGGTTCCCCGGAGTCCCGGTCATGGCACTAACGGCTACGGCAACTCACAACGTCATCCTGGATGTCAAACACAACCTGGCAATGGACACCTGTGAGACCTTCTCGCAGAGCTTCAATCGGCCGAACCTTTACTACGAGGTCAGGCTGAAGGAGCAAAACCTCGTTGCCCGCATCGCGGAGTTGATTCAAGAAAAGTATGACGGCCAAACGGGAATCATCTATACGCTGTCAAGGAAAAGTGCAGAGAACATCGCCAAAAACCTCGAGGAAAAACACGGCATCAGAGCCAAGCACTACCATGCCTCCATCACCACCGAGGAAAAGATCAAAGTCCAACACGATTGGCAAGCCGGCGATGTCAAAGTTGTGGTGGCCACCATCGCCTTCGGTATGGGTATCGACAAGCCCGATGTCCGCTTCGTCATCCACCAACATATCCCCAAGTCCCTCGAAGGTTACTACCAAGAAACCGGACGTGCTGGACGTGACGGCAAGCCATCTGACTGCTATCTCTACTTCGCTTACGGCGACATCCAATCCCTTCGCCGCATGATTGCCGAGGGTGACGGCGACTACGAGCAAAAAGAGCGTCAGAAACACATGCTCAACATGGTAGTCAACTACTGCGAATCGCAGCACACATGCCGGCGCGAGGAAGTGCTCCGTTACTTTGGCGAGGAGTTTGACTTCCGCAAGTGCAAGGACGGATGCGACAACTGCCGATACGGACGCATCACGAAGTCGACGGAGATGAGGGATTTTACGGAAATCGCCCTCGCTACGATCGAGGTGGTGAAGAGCCAGAAGACCCTCACGCTCGGCAAGCTGTGCGATATCCTGATGGGCAAAAAGAAGAACGAGCATGCTGGGATCTGTCACTTTGGTATCGCCAAGGGGAGCACGCAGAGAGAACTGCAGAGGATCGTGCTGCAGCTGAACTTCCACAAGGCGCTGGGCGAGAAGAATATCATGAATGGGGCGGGAATGCCTATTACTTACTACGTTGTGAGTGCTACTGTACCCCGGGTTGTTTCTGTTGACATCTTTCAGTTGTCTTGCTAACACTGCAGTGTGCAGACCGGACCTGAAGCGGGTGCTTACCTTTACAACGGCAAGCGGTTATTACTGCCCGTTCCATCCAACAAGTCCGTCGAACCACCGTCTCGGTCTAAGCAGCGGAGAGGTCGTGTCGACGAGGACATGACGATGGATGAGCCTGAACCTCCCACCTTGCCTCCCTTGCGACGACCGCCAACATCAACAAACGTTTCTTCGCCCGTCCGAACCACCAAAAAGAGGACCGCCACCGGAAAGGTTTTGCCGACCCTGATGGCCGACTACGAAGAACCCAGCTCCGACGGTCCTCACGGCCCTCTCCATGCCAACGGCTACGAGCGCGACGACTTTGTCGTATCCGATAGGGTTGAGCCCGACGACGAGGAAGAAGAAGCCTTTGAGCCCGTCCGCCCTTCCCGACGTGGTCCATCCTCCCGCGCTACTCGCCCTCAACACCGCCAAACCACCCTTTACGATACCCTCTCCCACACACAACAACATTCCAACGAAAGCATGTCCCAACACCTCGCCACTTTGGGGCCCCCCATCCGCGACCCCCGGACTATGCAAAACCCTCGCTACGCCCAGCTCGATGAGGTCCACCAAGACATTGTCGATACTTTTGTCGAGGAAGCCAAGATCTTCGAGGAGGACTTCCGCAACAAAAAGGGTATGCGCAAGCCCATCTTCACCGAGACCCAGTACCGCGAGATGGCAATCCGGTGGACTCGCACGCTGGAACAGATGCGCGCGATCCCGGATATCAACCAGGATAAGGTGGATTTGTACGGGGCCAAATTCATACCGCTTGTGGAGCGGTTTTACGGGAATTATAGGGACATGATGGGGCCCAAGTATGATAATCCGTTTGTGACTGATGGTGCCGAAGAGGATCAGTCTGGAAGAAATGGGAGGGGGAAAGCGGGAAATAAGAAGGGAGGAGGAAAGGAAGTGGTCGATTTGATTAGTAGTGATGAGGAGGATGGACTTCCTCCTGCTCGTACAGCATCGTCACGGAATCCGGCCGGGCGAGGACAACCACAGCCGACCGGGACACGGGGACTAACCCAAACCCAGACCCAAACTCAAGGCCGAACCCAAGATAAAGGCCGAGCAGTAAACCGCCGAGGAGAACCCATTCAAGAAGCAGAAGAAGAAGACTACGGCCTCTCAGACCTCGACGAAGCCATCGATCCAGACGCCACCACCGCCTCCGACAACTCCGACGAAGAAGATGAAGACTCAGACCTCGAAGCCTCGCGCTACTTCTCTGGCCCAACCTCCACCGGTCCGCCCGTCTCCAAGGCTGTGCAAGATGCTCGACTGAGGGAGTTACAGGGTATGTACGGCGGCTCTTCCAAATCAAGCGGTGGCTACGGCGCAGGCTCAGGTCGTGCATCGGGAGGATCTTCTAGTAGAGCATCGGGATCGGGAGGGAGAGGTGGTGGCGGGAAGAAGTTTTATAGGAAGAAGAGAGCTGGGAGTTCGGTTGCTGGTGCCGGTGGAGTTACGAAGCGCAAGGCTAGCAGGAAGAGAGGGGCGAGTACTGCCCCGAAGACTGCGAGAGGAGGTGGTGCTGGATCTAGGGGTGGTGGTGCTGGAGGAGGAGCGGGAGGAGGGAAAAGAAGTGGTGGAGGAGGGAGTTATGGAAGTTATGGAGGAGGAGGATATGGTGGTGGAGGAGGTGGTGGTGGGATGGGAGGGATAGGTGTTATGCCTCATTAGCGGGCATCTTATCGCATATCGCTTTACGTTACGTTACGCATTTATCATCGGAGATCATGAGAGGCATAAGAAGGATGGATGTTATAGGATGCCCTGGGGGAGGAGAGGTGCCTTGCATTGCATTGCATTAGCAGCAGCAGCATTGAGTTTTTAAGTTTATCATTCATCATTTGTCGTTGATCATTGATCATTCGTGGAACTTTTCTCGTAGAATTTTCGCGCAGAGTTTCCCGTGCAGTTTCACTGGGGAGTTTGGTTCTAGGTCTGGACAGCCCAGGCCAGAGAACACTTAAAAGCGAAAATCGAAAGAGGCAACCACCACCTACCATAAAACAGGTGTTTGTTTCTCGTTATCCCGGCTTAGTCTTGTATGGATGGGACGGGAGACCATATTTGACATGGCATGGCATGGCATGACATGGCGTGGTGATGACAGGTGATAGGTGAAGGGTGCCCCTGGAGGATAGCTCGGATACAGGTAGATATCGACACGTCGGTAAAGCCAAAGTCAGGGACTAGCACATAGGACCAAGCTTTGGAAGGAATTCTCAAACTTTGAAATGTGAAATATCAAATATGGCAAATATCCAGATTTTCCATTTTAGCGAGCACAACATGCAGAGATCCCTTATTGCGATACGATATTGCAGTGTGAATATGACCATGTCCCATATGTTGAGGTGGCTCAGATGAGTGGGCAGTCAACTCGTTGATTGTTGATCAAGCTAGTTATGTTCTGTAATTCCTGTTCGGAGTTTGGACAAGACAAATACCAACACCAACATCGACGCCAACCGACACATGTTCAGCCTCTATGGTAGAGCAGTGAAGTGTCGAGATTAAATCTCAGCTGAGGGCTTGGTTTCCTACCATCGTCACCACCACATTACCAGAAGACGACTTAATGCGCTCTGAGCCTTGCATGTTCTTAAGGAAAAAGACTTGAGGAAAAAAAAAAAGACCTAAGGGAAAAACCCAAGGAAAATGAGACCGAGAGATACCTCTTGAAACTGCCTAGGTACCTAAGGAAAAGCTGCAGAGAGAAAAGCCGCAGAGAGAGAAGCCAGCAGTACCAGTACAGTCTCGCTTCAAGTCGTGGATTGGATTTTTGGGGTGTGGTTCTTTCGTGGTACCATAGTGGTACTCGTAGTGGTAAAAGTCCTTTGTTTACTTCCAAAAAAAAAAAGGGGGCTAGCCATTCATTCAGTTAGGTTAGCCACACCCACTCACTCGCCCTTGCTCTCACGGAGTTGTGGATAAGGAACGGCGTGAGAAATTAGTCGGAGGTTACGTACAGTAAGGCATTTCGACTTTGACTTGGATTCCCAGCTGGGTTACGATAAAAGAGCAATCAATGAATTGTGCTTCTTTCGACGAGACAGGCGTTAATTCTTTTCAGTTTTTTGAGTTTTTCAGTTTTGAGTTTTCGGGTTTCAATTTTTCAGTTTGAGGCATTCAATATTCTTTGTTTTCTCTTCGTCTACTCGTGTCTGCTTCTAAGAGGTGATCTGACTCTCTCATCTCTCTTCGTTCTTCACAAAGGTAAGTTACTAACTATTATCCTTCCTCCGATTCCTCCAGTTCCCCCATCTGCCCGATGCCTCCCAAAATTCCGTAGCCAAAAATGTAAAACGATGTTTGAATGAAAAATTGCCAGTACCGTTAAGAATGGAAAATGATGCTAAGTAAATGCTCTCTTTCATGTCCCTTCCTTCCATAGTACCAAATGTAATCCAATAACCAGTTGTGCCAATGTCTGCCAATGTGTGCCAGTGCAGTGATGGTATATGCGTGAAAATGCCATATGCATGATGAAAATGTGAAGATGTGTGCGTGTGTGTGTGTGTCTCATCTTCCTCCTCCTCCGTCTTCCTTGTCTTGTCTCATGTCTCTCGTTCCCTCTTATATAGATATACCTCCTTCCTTTATCTCTTCATTCCTTCGACATCATCACTATGGCTTAACATCCCCCTTCAACTCCCCCTCCACCTCGCTCCTGACCCCTCTACACCACCTCACCACCGCCTCCTCAAACTGCACCCACATCCTCCCCGCCTCTTCCATATTTTCCAGCTTGCCGTCCTTGGCATACTGCAACCCCAGCGCATCGCACTTGATCATTATCTCCCACCTCAGCTCAGCAGCCTTCATCCAGTACCTCAAATTATCCGCCGCCCGATATGGCTTTTGCGTGTCCGCGTGGAAACTGGGGATAGCACCGAACCTCCTCCTACTTTTCCTTACGGCACAGTTGTGCAGATGCACTAGTCTTATCCCGTTACTCAACTCTCTCAAAAACGGCGTTGGTTCCGGGTTTGGTTGACTCCTGTCGATGGGTGTCCACTTTGGCAACGGCGGGAGATTTGACAGCGGTGGCGGAAGGGGTAGATCAGCAAACATGGAGTGAATGAACGCTTCCTCGCGCTCGATCTGATTCCCATTCTCATCCGTCGGCCAGTTCTCCGGTTTTAGCCAGGTCCAGGACTCGCGCTCCTTCTGCTCGGCGGCTTCCATCTCGTCTTCTTTGGAGAGCATGTCGCGCAGGGACTTGATCCATTGGTTCATAGTCTGGAACTCGTCGTCGCGCATACCGCCCATGAACCCGCGGGTTGCCATTCTCTTGAGGATATCCATTACTGCCAGGAGGTGAGAGCGTATGTCTCTCTCGGACTTGATGGCGTCTAATCGATCTGGGCGCTCGTGCGCAGTATAGTAGATCTTGGCGGCGCGAATGGCGAGGGTCATGACGTCGAGGATGTGCATCCCTTGGATTTCGTACCAGCCGGTTGGGTTGAGGGGAACCGTGGGGGTGACGGGGGTGGAGGGTTCTTGGTCGGAGGAGTTCTGTTTTGATGTGTCGGAGAGGAGTATGGCAGGTGGGACGACGAATCGGTCTGACGGTGAAGAAGACTCGTCGGCGGGCGCGGTGGCTTCTTTGGCTTCTTTTAAAGATCGTTCGGCGTCGTTGAGTGCACTTGTTAGGTCGGACCGGAGCTCCTCCATCGATGGAGGTTTCGGGATCGGCTTTTCGCGGTGGTTGTACGTTGAGACTGTTGGCGGGAGCATATGTTGCGGGTCTGTTTCCTCATCATAATCCGATCCGTACTCCTCCTCGGGCGGTGGCGGCTGGAATTCCATGTTATGCTCGTCCCCTGTGGGCGACCTGATCTCGTGCTCGAGCCCTGGGGTTTTAGGACTGCTGCCCATGGAGGCATAGCTCGAATCGTTCTCAAAGCTCAAGACTCTAGGTATTGTGTAGTCGCCATCCTCGAGCTGGGACATTTCGAGTGTTTTCGCCCGCTGGCGTTTCCGAGCAAACTGGGCGCCCTTGCCATCCAGCAGCCCCGTCCGAGCGAAGTAGTACTGCAGGTGGGCGATGCTTCCGAGACTCAGGACGGATTCGCGCTGGCGGGCGCTCTGGGCAAAGTCTGTTCCTTGAGGGCGCATGTAGCCCCGTCGCTTACTGCTGCTTCCTGACGAGATGGAGGAGTTAGCCGTTAACGAGTCCAAGCTTCCGGTAGAATCCCGTATCCACGAGTTATCGCGGGATCGGAGAAAGAAGTGGCCAAGCGTACTGATGTCGGACCGGCGCGTGGTGATGGGGAAGGTGCCGGACGAGGAGCGCGAAAAGGCCGAGCTGGCGTCGCTTCCGAGGGAGTCGCGCGAGTGTTCCGTGGTTCCTGATCCGTGGGAGATGGCCGAGGTGGCAGAGGCACAGCGCATGAACTTGTGAGCGGGAGCACCAACGGCCGGCGAGGGCAGAGCCTCGGGTGACTCGCACCGGGCCACGGAGGCATTCTCTGGTGAAGCGCTCATCCTAGCGGTCCCGGTATGTGTTATGTCCACGCGCGGGTGGCTTCAGGTATGTCTCGAATAGTGTCTCTCGACGATGGGTTACACTCGTGTATATATCCGTTTGGCAGGTCTCGGGTATCTGCTGGCCTCGTCGTGGGCGGTCGAGCTTTGAGGTAGGAGGATGAGAAGGAGGGGAAGGTCTCGAATTGGGCGCTGACGTATAGCGAGGGATGTCGATCGTTATTGTGCTCTTGACATGCCTCAAGGCGGAGATGAAGGCAGTGGCAGTGATCAGAGGTTCGACCGAGGCTGTGGTGGGTAAGTGGACAGTTAAAAGCTTGGTGATGACCAACGCTCTTTGAAAAGAGATTGTCAAATAAGTTTGAAGCCTTGTCTCCGGGAACTGTTACGGGACTGTGCCCCAAAGAGATCCACAGCGGAAGGAAGCGATGGAGTGGTTGTGTGGAAGAAACAGAAGGGAAAGATGTCAGGCTTCGATGACTGAGTCAGGGGTTTGCCTCTGCTGTGCGTACATGGGCATGCAGGCACAGGAAATGAGGAAGGGGCTTTCTGGTGATTTGTCGTGAAAGGTGTGTTGGGCTTCCGGAAAGTGGACGACGGAGCGAAAGGAAGAAGCAGATGTTGGAGTGTCGGGAGCTCATCCAGATCGGGTGACGGTGTGGTGTGCTGGCGTTAGGCTGCTAGCACCTCAACGTCTTAACTAAACCCCGCTCATTGCTTCTGCTCGCTGCAGGTGCTGCCCTTGCAGTTGCAGCCAAGTGGAAGCGGAGCACCACGCGTGCACCCAGCAGGCCTTTGGCTGTTAGTCCGCGCTAGTGCAGTCACGGCAGTGTCAGTTAAGATGGCCGGACCTTTGCATGCGTCCACTAACACCTAGCGACAAGCCTGACATTTTGACAGTAGCGGGGAAAGATAGACAGTTGCACTGACAGGGGCTTGCACTAACAATTCGTCACTGGCCACATTTCCGGAGGATCTTCCTATTCATCGCTTCGCATCGCCATCATCCATCTCCGATCCCTTGGGGAAATCTGATTGGTTGGAGGAGACTATAGTTGAAGCGAGCAAACAGGCCAGTACGACGGCGTTGAGGTGAGACGAATCTCCATTGTTCTTTGAGTCCGTCGGCTTGGTTTGTTGACATTGGACGGATGGCGTTCAGGGGTTGGCTGGTATCTCTTCCGTACTCCTCCCTTGGCCTCCCTTGTGATAGCACTAACATTTTGTCCATGTACTAGGGAATCCCCTCTACCTTGACCTTGACACGACTATAAACGAGCGGCCCGTCAGACCAGTGACTAGTTTCCTCGGTGCTTACCTATCCCGACCTCTGACCTATCCAAGTCCATCGATTCCCGTATATTCCGAACAAGCTCCGCGGTCCCGTTACGTAGTGTAGTATGCAACCACGGAAGAAGAGCGGGTGCTGCCGAGTCACTGCAATTTCCTTGTCAGTATCCATCTAGCATATGTATACCATCATCCATCCCGTCAATCCCGGCCGGTGAGATAGGTCCTGTTTCAGAGTTTCAGACGTTGACAGCTTGCAAGTCAGTGCCTAATCAGTAACCTCGGTCAACATATTACACAAATCGTGAAATGTCACGCTTCGCCATGAGTATATCCAGATGGTGAGAGGGTTCCGTTGGTGGTGACACCATGTACAGGTTAGTACCGCGGTAGCACGAGCTGAGGGAGACGAGAGCCAAACAAAAAAGACAAAGAAACACACACAGACCTGGAGCCTCTTTTGTGAAACAGAAGCTCTACTCCAAAAAGAACAGGAAGAACCCATGTCCTTACAAGTTCTACGAAACGTCCAAGATTCTGTCATCCATTCAGATGGAAGACTGCCAACCCCACATAGGAACTAACGGTCCACTCCATGTTGGTGTTGAGCATGCGAGGCATGTCAGGTACGAAGCCGTGAGCTGCGATGCGATGTTGGCTTTTTGAGAGGCTTCCCTTCTCTTGACTTCTTCATCCATCCAAACACCTAACTACTTATTGGAACGCAAATCTCCAGATATGTCTCTCCCGCTGGAACTCAATGTCTCTGCGCATTCTTCAAATGCTGTCTCAGCAATACACTTTGCTCAGACGCTCAGACAGACATCAGCCATCCGCTGGTTGCCGAGAAACCCGCGATTATTTTCTCTCGGTACAACATCTCTTGCCATGTCTCAGCAGTCAATCTGCATTCTTGACTTTTGCCCTCTGAGCTGACTACCACATCTGGTTTAGTTCCAACGCCGATGTTGGGCAGGGGTACCCTTAATTTCCAGGTTGACAAGACCCCTGGACGTTCAGTAACAAAATGAACCGCCGTAGCCAGTGGGAGTGCTTGGGGTGGTAATTGTAATTGCGCACCCGAGTGGGAGGGTAGCCGATATCAATATCGCTTGGTTGAAAGTTGCGACCTTGTCATTTGCTAGAGAGAAGGAGAGAAGAGAAGATCCCCCAGATGGTGATGGTGATGGCCGTGATGGACTGGTCGAGATGCTGGGATGCAGAAGAACAAAAAGATATCACGTCCTTATGGGTGGATGGAGAAGAATGCGGGGAGCGGCAATTATTTATGTTAGTGAAGATGTTGTCAATTACGAGCTGGATAGTGGGCACTCATCTCACTTATCGAGGGAGAAGATACATGCCAAAGAATGCGAGCGAAACCATTGAAATCTACATATCTGTCATTCTCCAGTCACTATTCGGAGCTTCTTGATCGAGCTCTCTTGTCAGAATGTTTCAAAGCATGGTGGTTGACTCTTGCACATCTTGTCAAAGGCTCAACGTGATTGGCTGTTGCCACAGTGGATTAGTGTGCTGAAACCCATCACAACTCTGGGGGGGAGGGGGAGGGGAGGAAAGAATGGCGTAAATTCCCCAAATTACCTCGACGACTGCGGGTGTTTCCAGAAATAAGCAGCAGCAGCAAATAAGCCCCTTCCACTTTTCTGTCCTTTCCTTTCTTCACTGCGGTTCCCTTATGATTCTTTCCCATTTCTCATCTACCTTAATTCATAGTAATTTTGGGACCAAAGGCTAGACCATTCTCTCCTGGTTCTGTTGTTGCTGTTATCTGCTCTGTTGGACCGACTCACTTGGAAAGAGACTCCATTCTGTTCTCCATTCTCCAATTGGTGACGGCATCCAATCCTCAGCCAGTTCACACTCAAGACCAACTCATTGCCAAGCCCGGCGTCACACTCTACCAATTTCACCCTTCTGTCACCTCTGAACACGGACAACCACACAATCTCATCCTCGGCATTTCTCTCTCTCTCAGTCTTCAATCTCGACTATCTCCTCAACTAATCGCAAACCATTCGAGGCTTGTCGCATCTCCTGTCGCATCCATTCTTGCTTGCTCCGAAACAACACACACAACACTCCCCTCGCCGGTATTAACGGGACCCCTACAGTACATTCTGCGCAAACCTCTTGTCATACCTGGCCCGACCCTAAACCTCAGCCAACCTCACCAATCGCAATCGCGACAACCGCCAGCCCAGTCCTGATCGCCGAGCGGGGATACTTGGAGACTTGACCTCATAGCCTCAACCCATTACCGCATTCGCCCGTCAAAAAAGAAAGAAACACTGTCCACACAACTACGCTAGCAAGGCATCACACATTCACAGAGGCAGCTGCTTGCTGCATGCACGCCCACGTCCGCTGCTCCCTCGCGTGAAGGAGTTAAGAAAGTGTTGCCTGCGACCAGGAAAGCTGCAGCATCGCAACGTCGCCTAGCCTATCTGAGCCTGTAGCTGCCATCCATTGGCGTCGATTGGCCTCTCTCGGGCTCTAGAACCAGTCACCGTCTCGAACCCGGGCCACGAGCTGGACCAATAATCACCAAGACACCCAGCAAGAAAAAATAATCCTCAACAAATGACCACCAGTGTGTCGCCTAGGTCTCCAGTTGCTGGTGGCCCTCCTCCAACAGCCAGTACCACTGAAAGTGGTGACTGTGGTTTTACCATTCGACTAGTGAACTCGGACGGCGACTCTGATGCTGATCTAGATCTTGATATTGATGCCCAAGACGACTTTGTTACGATTGATGACTATTGCAAAGACCAACGGGAACAAGACCAACAATCACAACAACACCGTCAGGATAGCGCCGTCGAGCTGACCTTTTCAGAGATCCCTACCGAGCTGCTACAGTTTACCTTTGCCAACAACGATAGCGACAGTAGGCCTGATACTAGCTCCAGCGCTTCCACTAACAAGAATACCAATCACATTCACAACTCTGAACGGGACCATCGCCTCCAACCCGACTTCGAAGCGCCCACCACCTCCTCCTCAACACCAGGACAATCCCACTTCTCGACAGACGTCCTCCTCACTCCCGATCCAACCCCTCCCGGTCTTCGCGCCACTCGAAAACCTTCACCGGGTCTTGCTGCGAGATTGAAGGCTCTCGGCTTCGGCGGTTCCCGCAAACCTGCATCCCCGCCCCAGCACCGGGATCTCGAGATTGGCAAACTTCCCGAGGAGACTCTGAAGAAGCTCGACGAGCACCACTTGTCCCTTTCTCAAGCCCTCGTTATCGAGCGACGCGGTCGTCCTTGGAAAGGTCCTCTGGTTCGCATTCCATCATCGTCGAGCATCAAGGCATCCAAGTTGTTCCATCACCATCACAAATCCGAAGAAGCCCAGGAGGCCGCCCATGAACAACACGCCACCATCGGTGGTGACGTACTAGTTCAGCAACAACAAGAACATCACGACAGCGACGACAACAACAACGCTTCCGATTCACCACACAGCAACACAGAAATGGACACTAACAAATACCGATTACCTGATCATGTCAACGGCAACGGCGTCAAGGCACAACGAGACACCCGATACGAGCACATAGCCCGCGATTCACGCCGAAGCTCATCAGGGTCCTCTGATGATGTGCCGCTCCCGCCTCCATCAAAGGATAACTCCTCGCAATCACACCATCGCGGCACCTCCAACAGCTCCTCCAACAATGGCGACTACTTCAACCCGGACAACATCTCGTTCAACCCTCTCGGCCTTTCACGCCCTCAATCCGTTTATACCTTATCTCGCGCCTCCTTCGCTAACCAGCTGGCTCAACTAACATCCATTACTCTTCCCGATGCCGAGCTTCTCTCCAATAAGATTGCCGCTATCCCCACCGCGCAAGTAGCCACAAGGGCGCTTATCGGCGCTGCAGAGCAGATCCGAGGATGGATCTTCAAGGCGTCCGAGGTGATTGAGGGGCTCGAGGCAGACGATGACGTGGAGTGGGCGGCCGCTGGCGGACGCGAAGGAGTAGACGAAGTTGAGAAGGCCATCGTCAGATTCGAAGAGCTGATCAACATCTACGTCGGAGCCATCGAGGAGCTGCAGGAGCGCGAAGACATCAACATAGTTTCGACGGAGGATTTGCGCCGGGCGGTGGCGCAGATGGAGAGCATCCTCGGCGAGTGGGCGCGGATCAGAGAGACACTGAGATCCGTCAAGTCGCAGGTAGAGCTGGCCATGGAGTGGGAGGAGCTATGGAACATCGTTCTGGGCGATATCCAGATGGAGGTGGACGACTTGAGCAAGTTGGTGTTCGAGATGGAGGAGAGGAGGCATAAGACGGCTATGTTGGCGGGGGATGGAGTGGATATTGGTGATTTGGAGACCATTGTCGAAGAGGCGCCGACGTCCATGGCGAGCAGGCTGCAGGCAGCTAATGCGCATGGCAACGGGAGGTTTAGCTTTCCTGGATTTCCGAATAGCCCGACGTCGCCGCTACCGACACCGTCAACGGGCATCTCCATGGACGATTCGAGCCTGCTGGCGCTGTTTGCTCGGATGCAGCCGCTTAGGGCGTCTTTGGATTTTCTGCCCATGAGACTGGCTGGCTTCCAGTCGAGGGCAGAGGACATCTTCCCTACTGCTTCTGACGAGCTGGAAATGCGGAGGCACAGTCTCGAGGCTACGTACAGGAAGCTGGAGAGGGATGCCGAGGCTCTGAGGAAGGAGCTGGGCGAGGATCGATGGGTGTTGGTATTCAGGGGCGCTGGCCGACAGGCGCAAAAAATGTACGAGTCCGTACAAAGGAGCTTGGAGAGGGTGAAGGAGGCGTTCGACACGGGAATGCACTTGACGAACCAGCCTATGATGAGCAAGAAGCTGGAAAGTTACGAGGCTAAGAAGACTCATTACGGGCCTGCTATCGAGAGGGTTCTGTCGATTATCGAGAAGGGCGTGAAGGATCGGTTGACGGTCAATGGAGAGATTCTGCGCTTGCATACCGAGATGCAGGCCAAGTGGAAGGATCTGAAGGAAGAGATGGTTGACGTAGATGTGGTCGTGGAGGAGCTCTACTCCAAGGGACAGCAACTTCGGGATTCTGTCTCGAGCATCTTGTCCAACGACAGGTCTCCATTGGGTAGTGGCCATGAGACTCCTCAGAGCTCACCACCTTCGTCTGTCATCATGACTGGGCGAAACGCTCCTCCTAGTGCGAGGTCCAAGTCTCGACAGGCGGGTACTCCTGGCAGCTCGCTTCCAAAACCTCCTGCCTCTCGCCGGCAGTCAACCGTCCCAGCTTCGGCCTCGACCGTCACCCGCAAACCCGCACCGTCCAATCCCAGGATGTCCACCATCTTTTCCAGTACCCCGGTAAAGACGGACTATCGCGAAAGACCAGGCACAACTACTCCTTCCACCTCTCGCCCTGCCGCCCAACAACCCCCTCGCCCATCCTCCAAGCTCGACAACCGTCCTCGTTGGAACGCTACCTTTAACCCATCCGATGTCGACACAGGTCACAACTTCAAACCTTTGACCCTAACCACGCCTTCTCCTTACGCCAAGTCCAATACTCCTCCCACTCTCCGATCTACTTCTTCCCTAGGACAGTCCTCCACTTCCAAGCTACCGCAAACCCGCTCTCCTCTGAACCGCGGCATCACCGCCTCTCCCACCGTCGGCGACAGCTCAGGCCTTCAAAGTCCCACCATCAAACGAGCGAATGCCACGGCGAGCAAAATGTCCTTCCGTGACCGCATCTCTTCTCCCGGTCCTTACTCTCAGCAAACCCTCTCCAAGTCCGTCGGCCCCAGCGCCACCAGGCCGGCCGCCACCCCGCGCCAGTCCAAGACTTCTCACTCATACTACCCTCCTTCATCCTCCAACACTTCTTTGCATTCCTCCGGCGGTGGTCGCGACCGCGAACCTCCTACCGGGTCAGGTACCTCCAACATGCGCAACAACCCCAAGCGCCAGTCCCTCCAACCACCTCGCATGTCTGAGCCAAGTCTGCAAGTACGACCAGCTAGTTCCATGGCTACTTCGCGCAGCGGTAATAGGCAAAGTATGCTTCCGCAGCCGACTTCTCGCTTGGGAATGAGGGCTACTACCCCTGGTCCTGGCACCACTACGGGGAGGGAGAGTCCGCAGGCGGTTGCCGGGGCGAGACATGCTATGGGGTTGAGCAACGGGAGAGATACTGCTGCTGGGAGGCGGAGTGGAAGTTCGCTGGGATTGGCGAGTAGGAGTGGGAGTTCACTGGGGATGAATGGAGGTGCGGTGGGCAAGGATGGGCGGCCTAGGTGGAGGCTTCCTTAGGCCTGTTGTCAAGGATTGAGGGCGGGATGATGAAATGAAGCAGTGACTGACTGACCAAGTGGCTGGCTGGCTGTGTGGGTAAGGGGAGGAAGAGGAAGATGGAGTTTTGTCCCTGCGTGGCGTTGCATTCACCCTTGTTTTTGATCACTTGTGCACTTCTATGCTCGTTTTGCGCTTCACACACATACCCCATCATATCACTTTTGAAATCATCATATGAAAACTAGCATTGCATAGCTATGGCGTTTTTTTGTTTTTGCTTTTCTGTTAACAATCACAAGATCACATCATGTATAATTTGGCTTAAAGGACTTTCAAAACCAGGCACGGGGGGGGAGATGGAAAGGAAGAAGGGAAGAATGATGGATGGGCCATGGCGTTGTTTTATAGCTTGTGTGATTATATAGTCTAGTCTGTTTAATGGCATTCATTGCATCTGTCAATTTTCTCACTTTGCGCAGGCCAACAATGTCCCATGTCTCAAGTTCCAAGTTTGTGTCTTGTCGTGGTGTTATGGTGTTTAGTTTTCCAAGTCCATTACTTCAACTAGGTGGGTGTACAAGAGTTCGTTCGTGCATCTCTCTCTCTCTCTCTCTCTCTCTGAATGGTTGCCATGGCATACGTATCTATCTATCTACCTACCTACCTACCTACCTACCTTCCTACTTACTTCCTCTTTCCTCCATCTTCGATTCTCACTCAAGATAGGATCGAGATAACACAGTGAACCTTGAAACTTGAAACTTGATGATACCTTATGTTATAGAGATTCCATGGACAGTATGGACAGACAGACAGATAGATAGATAGATAGATAGACCAGATCAACAGAAAGAAGAAGTCTTTCGGGGCAGGGCACGGGCAAGTCATGTATGTCATGTCACGTATGTCACGACGACTGATAAGATATATGAAATCTCATCCCTGTCCTGAATACAGTAGATAGATGTCCAAATCACATATAGAGCAGAGTAGGGTACAGTTTCACATCTGACTTGATTACTAGATTCCAGATCCGATGCAGTATCCTTCCTTCCCCCTCCTTCCAAGTTGTTCATAAAAATTCATAATGACAAAAAGTTCTCCAATTCGTTCGCTCTCTTCACAAAAGGGTATCAATCCAACTTCCAGCCTTCATCCGATCCAGTCCCCCACCCCCGCCCCTCATCACCCCCTTTTTAGGACTCCTGCTATGTGTCGTCCCCTGTATATAGTAGTATGTGGTAAAGAATTCCCCGTCAACGCCTCTGCTATGGTAAAAATGATAATGATGTTGTGATGTGATGTAGTTGTTTTCAATCTTTCGCGCCTAGTCTGTCGCAGGTATGATGTTTCAAGGTCGCGAGCTTGACTTTTTTTTCCCATAGGGGAAATGAAGGCCTTTGTCAGCGTTGTTGAAATGGCTAACATCGGCTTATTTCTCGATCAGGAGGGGAGCCACGTATGGTTTCCCTCGCTCCCTCGGCTGTCGGTACGCCATACTTGATAGGGCGCGGCTTTTAAAGTCTGCGTCCGGCGCCCGCCTCCCGATGCGTGACACCAGTAGATATCAACCAGTGTCCCACTCTGATCGTATTCGTATTTCTGGGAGCCCATATAAAGGGACCACCTACCAGCGGTGGTCCCTCAGTGAATGGTTCTCTCTTTCTCGGGTTTTTGTTTCCACGCCTGGGTCTTCATACCCTCACCATGTGTGGTAACCCTCTCTTTTAGATAGCTGCTCACTCAGGAACAACAGGAATACTCCTCGTCGGGTTCGTCATCTGGCTCAGCAGCTCGATATGTCGATAATAATTATGACCTCCCTGGTTCTCCAGCGCCTGTTCCTCCGCATACCAATCTGCTCCCCATACCTCGGGTGGTATCGTCGGGTTTCCGTCCGTCGTCTCATACAGCGCAATCCGCATCGCCCATTCCAGGTGCGGCCACCACTTGCTGTAGGCCTCGGGACCGAAGAAGTCGCTGTTGAAGAGAGATACCACGCCCAAAACCTCCCGACGGGCCATGCCGTGCAGCCACCATATCGAGTCGAGGGATTTCAGGAGAGCGAAGAAACATGCGAGGGTGGCCAAAGCGCGAGGACGTCGCTCTTCGAGCATTTCGATGTAGCGCTTCGAGACAGTTGCTGGGAATGCTAGCGGCGCGCCCTTGTGAGGGATTTTATGCGCCCAGTTGAGCACGGCGACAGCATGTTGGTAGGCTTGGCGGGAGCTTGTCACCAGTTCTGGACTGGCTGGTACCCGGCGCTGCTGGAAGGGTTGCCCGGGCGAACCGGGGTGTAATGGTGCTGGCTCAGACGGGTTGGACATTTCTTCCAATTCCTCATCTAGCCCATCGAGAAGATGACCGAAAAAAGTTTGGCGGTTGGGGCCAAAGTCGAGCTGCAAAACAGCTTGGGAGTTGATCACTTCTGTCACTACGGGACTGTTTCGTAGCCATTGCCAGGAGGCGGCAGTCACGGCTTTGACGCCCTGGAAGGAGTGGAACCACGAGAAGGGGATAGAGTAGCACCCGGCTGCTGTGTATCGGCCTTGCTTGTCGAAGTTGTCGGGGTTGTTCCCGGTTGCTTGAGCAAGGGTCAGTTCGTCTTTCATGAAGACGCGGGTGGCTGTTGATTGGAAGGCGATGAGGGAGGCGGTTAAGAAGAGGGATTCAGCGTTGGTGCTGTCGATGCCCTTGGTAAGTGTTGCGCTATATTCGGCTAGGGAGGCTGCCATGTATGCGTGCGAAGCGCGGACTAGTTCTTTGTCGTTTGGTGATTGACTTCGCAAGTGAAGGGCGGCAACGGCCAGGATGGCATCTGTGAGGTGTTGAGAGCCCGAAAAGGCCATGCCTGGCACGGTAATCTTCCATATTTCCTCCGTCACAGGGGCGGTGAAGGTGAATGTCTTGCATGTCATGGCGGTGTACTGATGCATCAACCTCAGCTCAAGCATTCGGTGGGCGGCCGGAGTGGTTGTCGAGAGAGCTTGTGAGGGTGGTGAGCGGCATAGGGGCGGTGCTCGTTGGAGGCGCGAAGTCGAAGCGTTCGATACGGACTCAGCACCGGGAGAATATGCGGGAGTGTAAGGGGTTCCGGCGGTGGAAGGACTGGATGCTGAAGCAGCTTGGGCAGCTTGAAGCTCGGGAATGATTTCGGGATGTTCGAAGTCGCAAGGGACGCCGTGCTTGACGCAGTTGCCGCATCGAGGATGCACCTCATCGCACTGGTGGTAGGGAGAAAGGGTTAGGTAAGTATGTCTTGGTCTGATCGTTTTGTCCTGTGATACACACCTTGATCTTTCTCGACTTGCAACGGCGGCAACCTGCCCTTGACTTTTTGTGAGAACGACGCGGAGGCATCTTGGGTGCTTGATTTGGTTGTTTGCCGATGATGTAGGTATACCGAGTAAGGTAGGTATCGATGTGTTTCTTGTGTTACGGCCTTCGGTGGCGGTTTATATGTTACCGGGGTTCCATATTAGGGTGGTCGGGAAGCTGGATAACAATCGTCGGGTTAGGATTGGTATATGACAGACAGAGAAACGAGGGTGAAGCTGACGAGAGAGGAATCGAGGACTAAGACTGGACCTCTTGAGAGGATGTTGTTGGGATTTGAAGGTAACGACTGAACGGTGACGACGCACAAGTACCCGCCAATTCCCCCGTCGCTACCCCGTTGTTGTTCAGTGGGCGGACCAATACCCAGGTAATATAAAGCCATGTGCAACTAAATCGGATCCTTGTGGGGCCGTTCCTGGTGGAGCGCAGGAAGCAACGACGATCATTTGTCGAAAAAGCACGGGGAAGGGGAACGGCCAATTGATGGGCACCTCATGCCTGCCTCCTGTAGGGCCACGGAAAGGGAGGCCTATGGAATGTAGCCTTCAGGTGGTCCGGCAGTGATGACAGCTCACAGACGTGAAGTCCTGGCAGGCAGGCAACGTCCAACTCAACGGTGAAGTGACAATCTTTCACCATCATCGGCAACAACAAGCGAGAAGAGACACGAACAAGGTGAGATTGTCGGAGACTCGAGGACATCAGCAACCACTGGCTCAGGCGCCGCCACCCGTCTCAGACCAAACTCGTAAAGGGTAAGCGGCTCGTGGGAAATGGCGGACTGCATCCGGTCCATGCCATGTTCACAATCCAATGCTGACTGCTGGGTGGGGGCCAAGAAAGAGGGAACCTGGGGAAAATGGTGCAAAGAGCGGGAATGTCAAGAGGATCGACACATGTTCGGGCTGTCGAGAGCCTGTAAAAGCCTTGTGAAAAGCGTCAATTATTTCCAATGTTTCCACTGCGGGTTCGTATTACCAGGTGTTATCATGAGTGACATGTCTAGGCAGAGGGTCCGGGAATAGGGGTTTGTGAATGCTCGAGTTCCCCTTGACCAGATTACCGAAAAAGCAACGAGATATCTCTTGGTGAAGGCTTTGTTTCTGTTGACATCAATAGAGTTCTGAGGCTGTCTGAAGGTGTTCTGTCCAAGTGTGATGACGCACGGAATGAGCTCCTGCAATTACGCTAAAATGAGAAGCATCGGATGAGACACACGGTTATTCAATGGGCCCCCTTGGCCTGTCAAAAAGGTGTGAAAAAGGGTCACACAAGACAAACATGTTCCGAATTCCCCTTGTGACGAAATGTTGCGATAGGTCCCTCAAATCCAAGTGGATCCCCATCCACCTTTTGGCTAAACAGGTGATGAGGGTGTGAGAATCAGGGAGTATTCACTTCTTGGCCGACGATATATCATTCGAGATACAGCTACATATATTGGACTCGACAGCCCCCTCGCCTTGTTTTCACGACAACGCCAGGACCCCGACGGGAATGTAATTTGCAGATCTGGGATGTACATATGTATCGCCCATGAACAAGATCCCATCCCTGCCCATTTCCCCGACCTGCGCGTGCCTGCCTCCCTGCCCACTACTCTTACCGACGGGGCTTACATCCGAACAAGATGCCCCGAGGATCTGATCTGATCTTTTTTACCCCACGTCCACGTTGCCGGGTCTATCTACGTCCCGTTCAACATGTCAACGGCCGTGAGAAATCCTCGTGGATGATGGAGTGATCTGCCATCAAGGCGACCGTGACGTTGCGATATGACTTCAACTCGGGACGAAACCTACCGCCGGGCATCGCATTAATGCTCAGGGCCGAGACGGGAGACGACGGCATCGGTTGACATGAGGGGTCTCTACCGACAACAAAGACATATGTCAGCAACGTCACACCTCGGACTCGTTTTGTCATCATTTACTTCCATACCGTGCTCTACAACGATAAGCCGGTCGCAGTGGTGTTTATTTCTGGATTGATTATGCGACAGATACATTCATCCCATATCCGACCGTCGCAAGTTGCGATAAACTTTGCGCCAAGAAATATCGAACTTTAAAACACATGGACAATATCGGATAAAAGTCATCCATCATCGGATCAAAGTCATGTCCATAAAGGTATTACATATTACACAACAGTTGCCGCTTCGTGTTACACGCCACGCATCCATTGTCCTCCCCAATTTCCATGGCTTCCAATCGCTCTTTGTTGTTTTCCGCATTGCCGTGTGCAACCCCGAAAACTGATTACGGTGGTGGACTTTTCGAGTTTCGGTCAACATGTTTTTAACCAGCCAGAAGCCGACAATACAATCAGATAAGGTAACAGAAACAGGCCTAGGACGAGGTTAAGGCGGCGCCCTTTACCTAAACCATGAAAGCGCATTGCGATCAACCGCTCGGAAAAGGCATTCCGCGCGGCCAGTGTCGGTTTGATTGAGAAAATTAGTTGATTATTCAACAGTGTCAGTAGTCAGCAGAAGAGTGTGGTTGGTGATGGTCGTTTGTCGATGGTGCCAACGGTGCTGATGATTACCCAATCCTGCTGAGCAATCACGACAACACCTTTGTCAGAGTCGTTGATCATTGACCGCTCTGTCCATGTCGAAATGGGAAGGAGATTAACGATATAAAAGACAATTAGGTCAGCATCACAGTCACAGCTTCCATTTCCATTGTACTTTCAAAGAAGTCAGTCGAGTCCTATAACAGAAAGAGCCAAGCCTCTCTCTCCTCATAAAGCAACAGTGTGTGGGTGGATCCGCGGCAAAAACTCGAATTGCGCCATCGCCAAAGTCTTTCGCACCATTGTGCCGGCCCATAAAAAAAAGGCACAATCCATAAGAAGTTCGACATTCTCTCCATCTCCAGCCCCGAAACCGCAACCACCACGCCCGACCGACGACCGACCGATCACCAATTGGCGCCATCTCCGTCACATCTCCGCAGACTACCGACAGTTAGACGGTAACTAGACGCCCTACCCGCGCCCAAACGGACCCTCTCAACAGCCCTACGGAAGAATCGCGCCAATTGAGCAAGATCGCCAAATCAAACGTCAAGATGACTGCCTCCAACGACCACCCCATCACCACTCCCCCCCGCGCTCCCTCGCCCGTCCATGGCTTCGGTACGCTTGCCGTCCATGCGGGATCCCCCCACGACCCCGCCACCGGCGCCGTGATCGAGGCCATCTCGCTCTCCACCACCTTCGCCCAGTCGGCCGTTGGTGTGCCCATTGGCGAGTTCGAGTACTCCCGCAGCAGCAACCCCAACCGCGCCAACTTTGAGAAGATGGTGGCTGCTCTCGAGCACGCCAAGTACGCTCTCGCCTATTCGTCCGGCTCTGCCACCACCGCCAACATCCTCCAGTCGCTCGCTGCTGGCTCCCATGTCATCTCCGTCTCCGATGTCTACGGTGGCACCCACAGATACTTCACCCAGGTCGCCAAGGCCCACGGTGTCAAGGTCACCTTCACTCCCGAGATCGAGGTTGACATCCGTGAGCACATCACCGATGCCACCAAGCTCGTGTGGATCGAGACTCCCAGCAACCCTACCCTCCGCCTTGTGGATATCCGCGCGGTTGCTACCGCTGCCCATGAGCGTGGCATCCTGGTCGTTGTCGACAACACCTTCCTGAGCCCCTACGTCCAGAACCCGCTCGACCACGGTGCCGATATCGTCGTCCACAGTGTGACCAAGTACATCAACGGCCACTCCGACGTTGTCATGGGTGTTGCCGCCTTCAACAGCGACGAGCTTTATACCCGCCTCTCCTTCCTCCAGAACGCCATCGGTGCCGTTCCCTCGGCTTTCGACTCGTGGCTTGCCCACCGTGGAGCCAAGACCCTCCACCTCCGTGCCCGTGAGGCCACCACCAACGCGACCGCCATCGCCCACGCTCTCGAGGCTTCTCCTCTCGTCATCTCGGTCAACTACCCCGGCCTCGAGTCTCACCCCCACCGCGCCATTGCTCTCAAGCAGCACCGCAACGGCATGGGCGGTGGCATGTTGAGCTTCCGTATCCAGGGTGGCCACGCCGCTGCTGAGAAGTTCTGCCAGTACACCAAGATCTTCACTCTTGCCGAGTCCCTCGGTGGTGTTGAGTCTCTCTGCGAGATTCCTAGCTCCATGACCCACGCTGGTATCCCCAAGGCTCAGCGCGAGGCCGTCGGTGTCTTTGATGACCTTGTCCGCATCTCTTGCGGTGTTGAGGATGCCGAGGATCTCAAGGCCGATGTCCTCCAGGCTCTTGAGCGCGCTGTTGCCGATGCCGCCAACGGTGTCTCCAACGGTGTCAACGGCACCCACTAAGTGTTTGTTTTGTCTACGGGTTAACAAAAGTTGGGCGTACGAAAAAAAGCATTCAGCGGGTTTCATCATCACTGCTATAGACGGGGTTCAGGCGTTATTTCACCATCATCGACTCTCTTATGGGCATGATCATATCCTGGGATTTTTGGGTTTAAGAAGACTAAAGGAGGCTTTTGATCAAGGGTATACCTTTTGGGGTGGATTTTTTACCGCAAACGTGGAAAGCGTCGGGGTTCACTTTCACTTGTATATAGACATGGCATGGTCATATAGAGGATACCAAAGCAAAGCGTTTCTTGTTTATCATTCATATTGATTTTGGGCCACGACTGTTTCTTGACTTGTGATAACTACTTTGTCTCATAATCTCTGCTGTTTGTTTTCTCAATCGTCTTTTTTCAGAGAGAACTTTGCTTCGAGTTGGCCTCTTCAGTCTTCACACTTAGACAACACATCAACCTACCGCTAGATAACCACGACTTCAACTCGGCCACCATCGGCATTCTCTGATTCCCCTTTTGTCAAAGATTCAACCCAACTCTCACCATTACCTAAGTCTACTCTCACTACGGTCACAAATTGAATAACAGCAACTCAACTGACTGGTTAGCTCATCCTCACCGACGTTGTGTCCTCCGCTAGCCTACATAGAAGACCATGGCGCAGAATCCGTCAGTCACCAAGCAGGATTGAGCGGTGAAACTCGAGCGAAGCAAGGTGTTCCATGTCCGAAAAGGGAAAGAGCAAGAACCTGTGTAAGTGAAGGCATTCAAGTTTCTTATTGGCTCGGATCGAAAGGACGGGCGGGCAAGGACATGGTGGTGATCGAATTCATCGAAGAAAGACTTGCGGTGCGGAAAGTGAGGTTGGCATGGTCGGCTGTCGGGCGGCTATCGGTCATCCCCTCGTTTGCCCAAACATTATAACCATTGTCTGTCATGACGGGTGCAAGTGACCCAGAGGGAGCTTTTGAGTCAAAGAAATCATGGAAAACAGAGAGCGTTGTGGATTAAAGGGCTTTCGCGTTCTTATATCCGGAAAAAGGACGTGCTGCGCTCGTGGGAGAGTCATAAGCTGAGCGTCCTCCTCCCCCCTCCGGCTCCGGAGGAGTGGATCCCCCGTCCGACATCCGATAGCCGCCAAAGTGGAACTCCGATAACCGACCCACTTTTGCCGGTATCCCCGCTAGCATGGTGGAGCCCGACGCACGTTAAGCGCGGTCTGGGGGCGGGAGTCGGTCCCGGGCCCACACACTTTTCAACTTCCACAGATGTTTCGATCAAGTCAGTCGTCGATCCGTCCCGTTGCGTTCCCGAACCCATCCTTTGCACTTTTTCTGGAAAAAAACCGGTCTGGACACGACGCTAATGAAAGTCATTCCATTGGCACGTGGTCGACTGGTGGGCAGTGTTACTTCACCGATCCGGTCGGGACTGACACTCTCACCCATTTCCTTGTTTATCTTGCTACCTGAACTCTTGAGAAGCTCGGAAGATGGATGGATGGATGATATCAGTGTCAGCTTGGCGAGTTCTCGGTTTCTCGCCGAAGTTTGGCAACGGCTAGCTACGGACAACGTTTGGATTTTAGGTGGGTGGTGGTTTACCTCTGTCGAATCCGTGGCCTGGATGGGACTGGGTGCCAGATTGGACACTCTTCTTTATCTCGTCAATATTGCTTCCATGTTGGACAGTTTGATGTTCCCCGGTTATCACTGTGTTATCGAAACCTCGATATCAGTGGCTCGTGTTGATAGAGGGTGTTGTCGATATCAGGACATGGACTCCCGGTGAAAATCTCAAACACGGGTGTCGGTCGAGGGATGCGTTCATCCATGTCCCGGCCGTCTGGTAAGGGTTTGCCACCACCCGTCCACCCCTATCCGTCAAGATCTTTTCCGTGACGGATAACAGCCCGAGAACAAGGAAAAAGTCTTCCTTGCCAGGCCAGCGGTCGGGTTGGGGACCATGGATAACATGGAGAAGCGGTGAAATACTTGTTATCCTTGATCAAAACTGAAAGGGATTGGATTGTTTGTCGATGTCGAGTGGTACCAGACTATGGTTATGTATATCTTCTTCGATTCGGTCTTTGTCACTTTTTCCATCCTTCGTTCATTACTGGTAAATCAACATTCGTTCGTGAAGGATTCATCCAATTCCTTGTCGAAAGATACTCGACTCAATTAGACGCAAGGCACTCCTTTCTACACCTATCCGATACAGTGTTCCATTTATCACACACCTCCATTCATTCTCGACGCAACATCAACAGTTGAGAGTATTGGAGCGAAGTGTCTAGCATGACAACATCACCGGCTAATATGACAACACCACCACCACCAAAAGAGACCGAGCAAGTCAACTTCAGTGACGGAAGCACCAGGACTCTAACTCAGTTCCGTTGTCCCAAATATTCATGCTCGAAACCTGAACCGAAAGAGCCATCACAACATCAACAGCCCTTTGCTTCGAGGGCTTGGGCATATCTCAATGAAGATGTTCGCCCTTCACACTTTGCTGAGATGCAGCTTGTGCTGTTAACGTTTTGTATTGGGTTGCAAGGTACGTTTCTTTTCTCCTCACTTCCCCTTCCGTCCCCGTCTTTGATCGCTTCTACCCTTCAACCCCCGGTCTCTGTTTACATTCCTTCCTACTATTCCTCTTACCGCCCTGTCATCCATCCCCCTTCCCACCTTGTAATGTCCTCTTTCCAAATCTTTTCCTCTCAAGTCTCAAACCTGATCTTTCAAACTCATGCTGATTCGTTTAAAACAAAAAAAACAGACGCAGTCTCTCATTCCCAGACTTCCACGCCTTCGCCTCCAACCAAACCGGCAACACCGTCTTCCTAATGCTCGCCATTGCCCTCCCGCAATTCAACCCCTCCATGTTCATCACCGCCAACATCGGGTGCTCCCTCGGTTTCTTTCTCGGTTCCGCCTGGCTTACCGGGCAGTTAGGGCACATCATCGGCCCGCGCCGACGCTTATGGCTTTTGGTAACCAACACGATCCAAACTTGTTTGGTGTTCATCGCCGCCGCTTTACAGTTTGGTAGTCACCACACCAACACCCCCGGCAAGGACCTTTTTGAGAGCGGTAGCTTGGACGGATGGGATGCAGTGACGGGAACCAGGACACTCATTTGCATCGCTCTGCTAGCCTCAGCGGCTGGGTCACAGGTTGTACTGTCAAGAAGTCTGAACATGACGGAGATTACCACCGCCATGGCGACGGCTGCTTGGTTGGATCTTGTCATTGACAAAAACATGTTCAGATCGCTCAAGAAGAACAAGGGGAGAAACAGACGGATGGCGTTCCTGACTGCTTTGGCGGTCGGGAGTCTTTGTGGTGCGTATATTTATCGGGAGGTGGGGAGTGCGGTGGTGATCACGATTTCGGGAGGTGGGAAGGCGGTTGTTTTGGGGATGTTTTTGTGCGCTCCCGGGGAGAAAGTGAAAAAGGGGGATGAGGAGAGGGGGAATGTTAATGAGAAGGAGGGAAAGGTTAAGAGTAATGTTATGGCGAAGGAGGGTGCGGGTGCTGTGAAGGGGGGCGATGGGAATGGGAGTGGGAGTGGAAGTGGAAGTGATGAGGAGGTGGAGGTGGAAAGAAGGGGACCTGGACGGGGGGATGAAGCGGTTTAAAAGCGGGCTGTTGAGACTTGAGAGAGTGGATTGGCTTTGCATTTTGGTTCATGATCGGAGCGTTTGCATTATATGGAGCATGACCATGGCATGGAGTTTTGGCGCTGGATTGAATATACCTTTTGACCTGAACTTGCTCGATACCTAGCATTATTGAAACTGAAGCGAGCTACCGACATGTCCTGCTGGTCCAACTTTGATTCATCTGCATTTGACGCAGATGTGGATGGAGATGAGGAAGGAGCGAAGAGCAGCGAGAGTCGGGACCAATACCGAGTGAAGTGGCATGACCTCTGTGGTAGGTCATGTCTTTTTATCGTGACGGTGAGCCCGATCAGATTTTTTTCTTGGTGCTGGTTCATCCCCTACCGCTTCATTCCTCGTCATTCACTGCATCATACTACCTCTAGAACAAATACCCTCGCCACTCTGCGGTTGTTCATCAACTATCGAATTCGGGACCCTTTAATGACGCTGGCAAAGTTTTCTGTTCCCTGCCGGTAAACAGATGACAATTCATCGCCACCGATACCAAGGTGTTGACGATCGATCGGATTCTGTCTTGTCGGCAAGTGAAGCCGTCTATCAATCACCCTGGGGGCATAATCCATATGCTTTGACACGTTGTTATATGATCCAAGATGGCTCCGAGGCAGGACAGAAGACGTGTGTGGGAGTGTATCAGGGGTTCGCTCAGGATGGATGTACCATCGTCAACCCATCTCCTGTTTCGTCAGCAAAGTGAGGAGGTGTATCAGCCGCTGGCCCGAGCAAGAGATTGATGAGCTTATATGGTTGAAGCGTCTCTTCACCACCTTTTGTGGTCTAAGAACTTTATCCACAGTTAAAGAGGGTGGTACCCCTTGATCCATTCCACTTTGTTTTTCATCTTTCACGAGGCCCATGGCGCGAGGAAGTTCATCGGTACTACGATCGTGACGAGGTGGGGCAGTGCTTTTCTCATTCACCTGAATCTGCTCCTCTGACTAACGAGCGCGTTACAGAAGACTTCATCCACAGTCGGTGACGATGAGACCCCTTGATCCATTTCACCATGGTTTTCGTCGTCCAACAACTCGCCTGTCTCTCGGACATTTTCCATCAGTACTACAACCATGACAAGGTAACAAGCAGTCTCTTCTCATTTACCTGAACCTGCTCCTCTGACTAATTACCACATTACAAAATATGTATGAAAAGGCTCCGAAAAAAGAGGACACCCGGTTTCTATATGTGCCCAGGCAAATCCAGGCCAAACTTCCTCTTCTTTTTCCTCCTCCTCAACCCGAACACTCGATTACGACTACGCCTACGACCACCGAATTAGAGCAAGAACTCAAGCTTTGAAACCGACAACCAAGCCACGTCTATCAAGATGTACCCACGCCGTACCAACAACGGAGAGGGCAGCAGCCGCGGCAGCGGCCGCCGAGAGAACCACCCTCGCCGCCCTCCACGCATCACCATCGTCATCCGAGACGAATCAGTCGACGGTCCTCCTCCGCACATCGAGAGGGAAGAAAGGAGGCACCCGTGGCCCCCTCTCCCATTCCCTCCGCCGATGGTCAGATGGGAAGAGCCGCCTACGAGACCACTCCCACCAATTCCTACTCAAGGAAGGGGAGAAGTCTGGACCCGAGCCCGGGAGCTCCTCGGCCGAAACCGTCACTTCCTCGACCACATCGAACATGAGGTCGCCCAAGACCGGTTGGAGGCCCGTCAAGCCGATCAGCGAGCCCAGCGTGCTCGGCAGGACAGGCAGGTAGAGGAGGCTCGGCGAGGGAGGTACGAGCACGAGAGGAGGCTGCAGGAGGAGGAGGCCGAGAGGAGACGGGTGGAGCACCTAGAAGAGGTGGCCAGAAGAGGTATGAAGCCAAACTTGGGACTCATGAATGGATCTGAAGCTAACTGCTTGGCTATACAGGCGAACAAGACCGCCAACAAGACGCCAACGTACCAGCTGCCAGAGCCAATCCCGTCGAAGCCCGCCCAGCGCCAGTCAACAGACCTCCAGGTCCCCAGATTCCGGCACCAATACCGGCAGCGCCAGTCATCACAGCCACCACAGTCAACGCCGCTAGGGCACTGGTCCCGGATCCCAACGCCGACAACGGTGAGCTCGTCCCCTGTGCGGTTTGCACCGAGGAGTTCCCACGCTCCCAGGTCTTCACGACCTCCTGTACCGAGCCGCACCACTACTGCGGCGAATGCCTTCAGGCCTTCTTCAGAAACAGCATGGACGGCAACGTCTGGCGCAACGCCGACAGATTTCCTCCTATGTGCTGCGGCAACCACTTCTACAATCACGCCAACGAGAACCCCTCTCGGGAAGTCCGAGCGCGCAACCAGCGCTTTCACCGACTACTCGGTGTCGATATGATCAGGCAGTACTTTGCTCGTACTCAGCAGGTACAAATGGAGAGGGACGGTGCAGGCACGCGGTGCTCGAACGCGGACTGTGGCTGGCTTGTCCCTGAGCGGTTCACAGGCGTCGAAGGTCGCAGAGACACCGAGGCCGTCTGCCACAACTGTCAACAGGTTACGTGCACGGTCTGCGAGGGCAGGGCGCATCGTACCAGGTACCAAGAACGTTGTCCTGGTCCGAGAAGAAGGATAGAGGACCAACAGCAGGCGGAGGCGCAGGCCGACGAGGAGTTCCTACGATTGAGGCGGGAGGAGGGCTGGCCGACCTGTCCGACCTGTGGCTGGACCGTCCAGAGGAACGGTGGCTGTAACCTGATAAAGTAAGAACCCCTTCTCGCTTGAAAACTAGAGGAAACAAGTTACTGACAGTCTTGCAGGTGTTTCAGGTGCGGTACATACTTCTGCTACCACTGCCTACTCATCTACCCTGACGGGCACCGTACGCCTGATGGTAGGCCACTGTGCCTCTGCCCCATATTTATAGATGGCGAGGCAGAGGGGCGGATCCAGGAGAGACGGGTAGCTGGTATTCCGGAGCACGTGCCCGAGGGCGAGGAGGATGACTTCTTCCCTGGTGGTGACCACCAGCACTATCACGACCGGGGACATCACGACCGGGGACACCACTATGACGAGGGCCATCATCACCACGACGAGGGCAATCACCACCACGATGAGGGCCATCATCACCAGCACTACCACCCTCGTCATCGCCAGCACCGGCATCACCGCCATGTCGACTACATCCTCGACCACGTTATTGAGGATGATGACTTCTTCCATGGCGGGGACCACCGCGACATCCTCGACCACCCCATTGAGTGGGACAGCGACGGCGACGACGAAGACCTCGACGCTGATATTCTTCGATTCATCTCCGATGTCATGAGAAGAAGTTGATTCATTAGAATCATCGACTATCATTCATCATCACGACGCTTGCCATAACCAGATACCCCAGAGGGAAAACAAATTATCCGATCCGCCCTATCACTCCCCGGTTGCGGTTCTAGATCGACTTACTCGGACCCATGTACCTAGCCCTAAAGTAACGGGGCAACATGATCTAGTAGGTAGAACCGAGCAACTGGGGAGACAGAAGAGGGAAGCAAACTGGATCGGAACAAAATGAAATACAGCCCAGGCAAGCGTTTGATGGGTAGAGTGGGGATGGAGGCCATAGGAGGGATCGGAATATTTAGGTAGCAGTTGGAATCTGAATGGAATGGTTTTTGAAATTTGGGAGCTGGAATTTGGAGTTGGAATAGTCGAAATACCCAGATAGCATAGCGTTGCTTTGAAGTCAATGGATGGCTGCGAATGCTGACAGTGTCTCTTTTCGTGCCCGTGACTGTTGTTGAGTGCTGTCAAGTGCTGTTGATCGAGTGATGGTAGAGTGATGATCGAGTGGTGATGTTCAGTCCATTGTTGAGCCTAGTCTTCGAGGTGATCCACTCCCCGAGCCTTGCCAACTCGAAACATCCACATAGGCTGCCTTCGATCTGGTTCCGAGCCGGAGTGCTTCCCTTTTCTGTCTTCAACAAGTTAGCTGGGTTCCGATTACTAGGTCATGTTGCTCACCCCAAAACAAAAGAAGAGTGAAAGGAGGGAGAATGTCGATTTTTATACCCAAAATATGGGACATGACATATACCTGTAACCTCACCACGGCTGCCACATCCAGTATCACCTCGTACAGGTGCAGTATCACAAAAGGCAAACTGGTGTTTGTTTGATAGTACCCGACTCGCAGACCTCACAACCCAAGAGCCAGATTTCCACCACTTTCTCCTTTCGCATCCTCGTTCCCTCAGCGGGAAACAACCAACTCCAAGACACTGAGCACCGAGCACCACAATCACGGACACAATCACGGATACGGCCCAGCGAAAAACCGCCCCCTTAACCAATGAAGTTTATTATAAGTATATCCAGGAAAACGCTCTAAAAACGCCGCCATGCTTCTTCTCTACGCTGTCCTGTCTATGTAGATGCTGTGTAGTGATATGTGCTGAGACCACTCCAGAGGTCTGAGTTCTTCCTCCCTTTCGACTGTCGACCATACACTCATCGCTCGCTTGCTCGGCCTGTGGTTCCTCTTTCTCTTTCTGTTCTTCCTCTCCTCTCAGTATACAACACCCTCTGCTCGTGGCCTCTGTCTCCGGTGAGGCCAGTCGAGGTATATATCCTCTTGCTCTCTCTCTTCCGCTCTTGCTCTCTACCCGTAAAAAGTCGTTCGCAAAACGTGGTCGGAAACCCGGTGACACAAAATCGAGGTGGAATTGACTATCGATCACGACCCAACCGCTCCTCGTCATCGCGCGTCAACTCGTACGCCGGCCGGAACTTCTTCCCTTCAGCATCGAGTGCCAATGCAGGGTTGGGCCGCGTGTCTTTCGTTCCGCCCAGGGAGGAGAAGCCTTGGGAGTAGAGGGAGCAGAAGGGGATGTCGAGTTGGCGGATGAACTGTTTTTGTAGAGCACAGTGTTAGCAAGGTTCCCTTCCGGCTTGGCGCCCTTTGTGGCTCGTTTGATGTGACGGTTGTGGCGTCCCAGTCACCTCCGGGTCTTCTCGAGGGGACGTATGCTGCAGAGAAGAGAGACAAAAAAAACTCACAGTCCAAATCTCAACATAATGCCAATCCAACACGGGATTTATCCGCATAAACTGCGGCCACCCCTTATCCGTCGGCGTGAAGCTCGTCAGAAACTCGCTATGGGGGTCTGTTCGTCGGGTACCCATGAACACCGCCTTCACGTTCGGCTTTTCTTCGAGGTATATGTCGAGCGCCTGGCGCATGGGCAGGGCGTAGCGGGCTAGGTCCAGGTGGTATTCGTCTGTGGTGGTGGCGACGAAGTCCTCTACTTCGCGGAAGGGGTCTGGGGGCGCGATGTAGATGCATTGAAGACGCGGGAGGTGTTGTTTTGTTGAGGCTGTAGAGGGTTGGATCGAGGCGGGCCAGCAGGCTAGGATGAGGATTAGGAGGACTAGACAGTCTTTGCCGCCGTTGTAGGAGAGGGAGATTTCTTCGGGTCTGTTTTTGGTTGAAGAGGGGGTTAGCGGGTTGTGGAGGTGAAGGTTACGGGATGGGCTGAAAGGGTCAAGGTCAACACACCTATACCGACGCAACGCTTCCTCTATCACCTCCATAGCATCACGAGCCCGTCGTTGGGTACCTTGTACCGTCTCATCGTCGGACTGAAGAGCCAAAAAGGCCAGTAGCTTTGCGCGCAAAGCGGCGCATACCTCGGCAAGGCTGCGGGGTTGGCTGACGATCTTGGAGACTGAGGCGGTAGCCATGTCTGTCGTGGTAGTTGTCTCTGAAGGGGGAAAGGGCGCAGTTGAACTAAAGGTGGTGGTAGACGAAGCTGAAGAGACACCGTTGCCGATGCGCAAGTCTTTGGGAGATGATGGCGAGTCTTGTGTCATCTTGGAGATAGTTGTGCGCGGGAATTGGGACGATTTTAAACCTTTGTCGCAGTAGGTGTGGGTGTTTGTGGTAGTCGTCGCAAAGAGGTAGAGGTGACTCGGATCCAGGCACGGTAATCACCAATGATCATGCTCGGTCAGACTGAGTCTGTATGGTTAGAGGTGAGTACTCCGTGTGTCGCCTCCTTCAGGTAGATCGCCTCGATGTGTGTCTGTGTGACGGGACAGTGTCTCTCAAGAGAGGAGATTACCAGTATGGCCGAGGATGTGTTGATAGAGGGTCAGCAATGCAGCAAACTTGACTAGGGGAAGGACAGTGGATGATTGGATCGAACGAGGCTTGAGATAGTTCAAGAACAGTGGAAGCGGAAGGACATTTCCCCAGGCCATGGAACCGTCATGGAACCATTCGATCCATTGGAACCCCTCCACCGCGACCGCGGCTCACTGGGGCACCTGGCGGGACTCGGCTTCCACACCTTGGGGCCACTGCCTGCCGAGCCCCCCTGTGGTGGAACCATTCCGGGGGAACTGCCATGACCGCAGGGGCCCCACGCCAAAGGGGCTCAGGGGCTAGAGTAAGGCTGGGTACTGGTACTGTAGCGATAACGATGCCAAGATGCCTCTTGCTTATTGCACTAACAATGGACACTCGACACTTCTCACCACTTGCAGCATCACCTCAACAACCACAACATGCGGCATCAACATTATCAATTCACAGTCATCGATATTAGCTGAACCCACATTCGAAACATCTCGAAGTGAGGAGAACGCATTCTTTCTTCAAGTTGAAGCAGAAGAGGTTCTTACAGCGCATACAAAATAAACGATGTTACGGTTGCCCACTATCTCCCATTTTCCCACCAGAAAGGATCATGATGCCATTCAGACACTCATCGACAAAACCTGGTCCGTCATGATAATGGCAGAGAATAACTTCTCGAGTGGGAAGGTAATGTCTGAGAAGGCATGCTCACCCCAAGATACAGTGATCCTGATTGTTTACCGAAAGAATACTCAATCCATCAAGGATATGAATCATTCATCATCACCATGACACTCGACAATATATATGCGAGTTCTATCCAAAAAGAGGCTTTCGTGGTTTAAATGACATCTCTCTCTACAACACACACTCACCTGTCACTGTAATCATCGCCCTTGTGGGGTGGACACTGAGGCGATATCAGAGTTCGCAATCTGTCTCTACTGTGTTCGTCCCCTACCTTCTTCGACTTTCGGGTTTTTAGCTGGAGGGGTAGCAGACCTGCGGATTTCCTCTTCTTTTTCTCAGACCAATCAAGCTATCAATTGCTCTAATCGGTTTAACCAGTCTTTTAAATCCTTTCCGAGTCCATCCAGTTCATCGTCAATGGTCCGCTCAAGAGGGAGATAACTGTCCAAAGTCCAAGATTGAACAGCCCAGGAAGATCACAAAGCATATCAGGCAACCCAGTCCCCCAGAAACGAGTTTCCGTCTCCATAGAAACGGCTGCGAACAGAGCGACCATGACCGCAAACCCCCAACCATCCCGCGGCCAGTACCCACAGCATCGTCATCCCAACGTCACTCCCGTCTGCCGGAATACGGTCCGAGAGCTTTGATACCGTACGTTCGTGAGTCCACCGATTCGATTCTGATGGATGCGCCCAAGATATTCGTCCAAGTCAGACGAGTTGAGAGGCTGGATCGTGTGGCTTAGAGCCGATTTCTAATGGAAATCATTTTCTTATGCACCTGTCTGCATCGAAACGCTGCCGAAGCATGTCGTCCACTCACTTCTTTCTGACCTTGGTTTCCTGCATGTTCAGCTGATAGGTCAACAGTGACCGCTTCCGATGTTCACCTATTAATCACCCGCTTCCGCTGCCGTCAGCACACCAAGTCCGGAGTCAACCCCGGAAGCCAAGAGTGAAGTCTAAAACAACGACACCGGTGACGATCTACCGGCAAGTAACTTGACAGAATGGGAACACAAGAACCCCTCTTTTTCAAGACCTCCCAAATGTCACCCTATGGTTGGCTGGCCACTCATAGATGAGCACAAGGCTGCATCCTTCCGCAATCAGATCTCAGTTCCCCTCGTTTCTGAAGCGATCGTAAGGCCGAGACGGGAGGGGTAAAGGTTCTGGAAGGCCCCGAAATGAACCATCCAGAACACACACACACACACACACACAACTTGGCAAAACAGAAGCCATGATCATTGCCCTTTCGCTCCGGAGTCAAAGCACTTAACGTTAGAGATGTACTTCCATCAACCCAATAACCTATGAGCCCATACCCACTCGGACGTACGAGCCAAGTGCCCTTCAAACCATCAGTCGCCGACATATGTTCATGTATGGCCATGGACCAGCTCACTTGGTCAGCTCTGCTCTTCCTGCGGGACGTGCTTCCCCCTCGAATTTGAAAACAGCGGACGGCCCCGTTCCCCCCCTCCTTTGCATGTGACGGCATGATGAGGTACATTGACCTTTCGGTTTGGATCTCCAGTCGACTGATCTCACCAATTTGTCTTACGGATCGTGGTTTGTAAGAGGTCGGAGTGTGAGTGGAAGACGCGGAGAACTCCTTGCTCTGCCTCTTGAGATGCCATAAGCTGCCCATAGCTCTTTTTTGCGCTGCATACATCACAGATGCTGAGTGCATGCAGCAACGCAAAGGTATAAACCTCCGGCAACCCCGCCCTCTTCATCCACTTGTGTTCCTATGTTACTCCTCACTTTACATCTAACGATTCTTGCTTCTCACTGTTAATATTGAAACTTCATTTGAACAATCACTTGGAAGTTCACATTCATCTACATTACATACAACAAGTGACAAATCTACAACAACAATACAAACCTATTAAGCTCAGTCAAGTCTTTAACAACCATCAGGACTTTGACTTCCACAACCCTCACCACCAACAAACCAATCCTCACATCCTATCACCCAACAACACCTTTCCCAACGCATAACAACGCCACCCCCCTCTTCCCCC